GAAGTCGAACTCCCCTAACTTTTCCAACCACCTGGCCTGTCGGCCCGATAGATCTCGCTGTTTCAGTAAGTGAATCAGCCCTTTATGGTCAGTCAACCAAGTGAACCTCGCGCCCTGCAGGATATCCCGGTGTCTCAGCATCCCTTCCACACCTGCCAGCATTTCCTGCTCGTGGACCGGGTAGTTCTGCTGCGCCGGGTTCAGCTTTGCGCTGTAGAAAGCGGCCACCCTGGCTGTCTTCCATTCCGCGCCCTGGGCGATCACGCAAGCGATGCCCTTGCCACTCGCATCTGACATCAGCCAGATTGGGTCAGCGCCGGCGGCGTAGTCCAGTGGGACATGTGAGTGTTTCGCGCAAGTCGCGACATATTGCTTAACTTCGTCGAAAGCTCGCTGTTGGGTGAAGTCCCAGCGAAACGGCACCGTGTCACCCGTAACCTCGGCCAGTGTTCCCATTGGGACCCTTACCCGATGGATGTCGTCGGCTAGGAACCCCACTGCACCCAGGAAACTCCTGAGTGCGTCACGGTTGGTGGGGGTTTTTCAGGCCAGGATCTTGTCCACCTTGGCCGGGTCCATATGGATCCCGTTGTCGTCAACGACCCTGCCCAGGATCTTAAGTTCCTTGCAAAGGAACTGCAATTTGCCCTCGCTAAGGTACAGTTTTTCCCTTTCTAGGATCCGCAGGACGGTCTTAACGTGCTCCATGTGTTCAGCTAATGTCTCAGAATAGATTATGATGTCGTCGAGGTAGACGTCCATCCACCGGCCTATGAACTCGCCGAATAGGTAGTTCATAAGGGCCTGATATGTAGCAGGCGCGTTACAGTCCCCCTGCTGTAACACAGTACTAACCATGTTTCCGTCTGGGGTAGTGACCATTGTGCGCTCAACGTGCTCGGGCACTATCCTTATCTGTTCATAGGCGTCTTGTCCGTCTATGATGGACCGGTACTGTCTCCTCGCGACCCGGCGAAGGATTCCATCAATGTCCGGTAGGGGGGATGATAGCTTGCGCGTATTAGCGTTGCGCTCCCGCAAGTCGAATACGGTGCGTAGTTTGTCCGTGCCCGGCTTCCGGATGAATAACATGGGCACAGTGTTGCCGGCGCTCGTCATACGCCAGCGTCCTGACACTAGGTAAGCTTGTCGCTTCTCCCCCCATTGTGAACGCAGGGGCTCTGGGCAACGAGAAGGCCTCCAACGGTAAGTCTTCTCCGGATCTATCAAGGGAATCGTATGATTGATTGCCCTTAAAGGGGGCAAACCGGTGGTGCTGGCCTTGGCGCACAGTGGCCGAGCCAGCTCGCAAAGCTGTTGACGTGCCCGGGTCAGATCCTCCTCGACGGCCCCGGCCGCCCTCGATTCCAGGACAGCTACCTGTTCGCCCTTGACTGGTAAGGCACGGTCGCTACCGACCATCACCCGGGATGGGTTCAGGCCGACCGTAACTTGGTGTTGGAAGAGGAATGGCGTCCCCAGGATTAAATCATAATTCTGTAAGTTTATGATATCAAAGAATCTTTCTTCCTTAATGTGCTGATAAGCTAGCTGCACCTTAGCCCCAAAGTTCACCTTGGAGCGCGACCCTTGCACGGCCAGCTGGATGGTGAGTGGCTTCTCTAGAGGTATCCGTTTCACCTTCAGCTGATCCGCTAGTGTGGAAGACATGAAGTCAGCCAGTGATCCCGTGTCGATAAGGGCTCTGACCGGGCAGCCGTTCACATGTGCCACCACAATGACAGGCTTGGGGATGAGTCGTTTGAAATCTCGGGCTATCGCCGAGTTACGTTGTATGGCAGGGTACTTCCCTGGCGCTACCTGCTGACCATTCAGTTCGACTAACTGGAAATGGTGAGCCGTTCCTTCAAACTGCATGTCTGGGATCGTGTAGAGCTGATGTACTACACCTTCCAGCGCACACTCCATTGGGCTGAGATCACCGGTGTAGAAACAACAATACAGAGAGGAACAAACAATGATCGCTCCTAACTGATATATTTGTGTTGTGGTCTTTGCACTGCCTAGTCTGCTATACTTGCCTGACAAGTGCGTTCGACCCAGGGGTCTGCGGTCTGGGAATAGTCTTGGGGGTAAGTGAGTGATGTGGGGTCAATAGTCCGAGCGCGGGAAACAATGTCCAAAGGTATAATTACGATGTCCGATGCGAAAGCGTCGGGTCCGATGTTTTCGGGGTTTCGGGTTATCGGATTCGGGTTCGGGGTGTCGGAAACTAATAGTAACGCTATTGCGAGCGTCGGAAGAGCGAGTGGTGTGCGCGATAATAACAATGACTGATACGGATAATGAAAGAGCGATGATATTCGCAATATCAACTAAGAACTACGAAATATCGGGTTTGACCACTAAGCGTCGGGGAACTGCTCCCCTCTACTTGGATAATGAATAATGCTCGAGGTCAGTCCAATATATATGTAAGTACGTAGAAATGCGGAACCCGTAGGCGAAAGTAGCGGCGGAGTATTTCGGATCCGAAGTACATGTAAATAAACATGAGGTGCTGCAGACTATGGGAAAACATGTAATAGCGCTGGCTACGACGTGAGTAATGTGCGAAATAATGAACTACACACCTAGTGGGGCTAGCAAGACGGAACGGGACACGGATAGGACAAGTGCGCGGGAAAACATCGGGTCCGATGCGGCCTAAACGTCGGGTTGGCGGATTAGCGTCGGATAACATCGGGAAGTGATTAGCATGTGACGGGTATTTGACGTGTACTGTGAAATAGCTCGATACGAGCCCAGCGCCAGCTCGTGTCCTACACCGGTCTCCAACAACCGGAAGTGGTGACTCTCCCACTCCAACTCTTTGCTTAGCATCAACGTGTTCAGCTGCTTGTAGCCCTTTAACAGGTGCTTCGCATACCAGTGAGCTACATTCAACTTTTCATTACAGAGGAAGTGATCCTCCGCCCTCAGCACGTAGTTCAGTTCTTGATCCAATATCTCGTAGATGATGTCATCGCCATAGGCTGTTCGATGGCAGATGAACCGATCTTCAATTGGTTCTCCCGGAAACCGAGTCTCCCGGTTTAATATCTCCTCGACACGATCAGCTATAGGGTCTCCCATCGGCTTACGGCGTTGCATACAGCGCCTCATGGACTTAGGTACTTCGCAGTCCTCGGCCAGGCGATTTGCGTACCAATCGCCCATGAAGAACACCGGGTTACGTAGCAGGAACGAAGGAATTTCTAACTCTTCCTTCAGGTGAGTCCCATGGTCCATTATGATGTGACGGACGGCTGATATCCGATAGATCAAGAACCTGTCCTTAGCAAAGGTCTCCTCACTTGTTAAGTTGTCCCCTGGATAAGGTGCGCTCTGTCTTAGTATTTCCTCTGCACGGCGCGCTAACGGATCACCTATAGGCTCATCAGCCACTCCCCACGTTCGGTAGACCGGTTTCTTAGGTATTTCGTACTGCAGGAGCGCGACATTCAAGGGAATCTCGGTGATCAATTCGGTGCTGTCTTCGAGAGCCTGACGTTCTCCGTCCAGCCCCGTTTCTATGTGCATAGCGTAGTTAGGCACTCCAGGTGGCTTATCCTTGTGAGTCGACGGCACTGTGGTCCGTTGTAGGACACGAGCTGGCGCTGGGCTCGTATCGAGCTATTTCACAGTACACGTCAAATACCCGTCACATGCTAATCACTTCCCGATGTTATCCGACGCTAACCCGCCAACCCGACGTTTAGGCCGCATCGGACCCGATGTTTTCCCGCGCACTTGTCCTATCCGTGTCCCGTTCCGTCTTGCTAGCCCCACTAGGTGTGTAGTTCATTATTTCGCACATTACTCACGTCGTAGCCAGCGCTATTACATGTTTTCCCATAGTCCGCAGCACCTCATGTTTATTTACATGTACTTCGGATCCGAAATACTCCGCCGCTACTTTCGCCTACGGGTTCCGCATTTCTACGTACTTACATATATATTGGACTGACCTCGAGCATTATTCATTATCCAAGTAGAGGGGAGCAGTTCACCGACGCTTAGTGGTCAAACACGATATTTCGTAGTTCTTAGTTGATATTGCGAATATCATCGCTCTTTCATTATCTGTATCAGTCATTGTTATTATCGCGCACACCGCTCGCTCTTCCGACGCTCGCTATAGCGTTACTATTAGTTTCCGACACCCCGAACCAGAACCCGATACCCCGAAACCCCGAAAACATCGGACCCGACGCTTTTGCATCGGACATCGTAATTATACCTTCGGACATTGTTTCCCGCGCTCGGACTATTGACTCCACATCACTCACTTACCCCCAAGACTATTCCCAGACCGCAGACCCCTGGGTCGAACGCACTTGTCGTCTCAAGTATAGCAGACTAGGCAGTGCAAAGACCACAACACAAATATATCAGTTTGGAGCCATCTTCGTATAGCCCCACTCAGTATTGTTGTTTCTACACCGTTTAGGACACTGACGGGACATGTGTCCTGCCTCTTTACAGATGAAACATCGTCCTTCGGATACAAGACAGTCGTGCTCCTCGCGGCTCATCCTTTCGTCCTTCGGACGTTCTGGGCGCTTATGCTGCGCCGGTCGATGTACTCTATCCCTGCGACTCGAGCCTGATGACTGCTTGTCCCTCTGGCCATGGTTCCCCTTATCTGGTCCCCGAGGTGCGTCGTTTCTCTCGCCCTTTGGCTGTCAGTGACCTTTAGAGTCCTTGCCCGGCTTTCTAGGAGGCTTGGATTCTTCCTCACGACCACGGTTGCTGGTCATGGCTGACTCAGCTAGTTCAATGATTTCAGCGGTGTGTTGGACCTCGCTCAAGGTAGAGATCTCGGGGTTTAGTTGCATTTTGTATAGCTCATTCTGGATGGTTGTGTTTAGACCAAACCAGAATTTGACGACCTTTTCTCGCTCCGGTACGTTTCCTATCATCATCCATAGTTCGTTTAACTCAGACAGGTAGTCTCGGACTCTCTTGTCACCCTGGTAGCAGCGATAGAGTTTCTTTCACTGCTTAGTTCGAAAGTCGAGCGGGAAACAGTAGTTGAATAATTCGGTAAAGAATTCCTTCAACTTCCAGTCACCTGGCCGGTCTGACACTTGTCTGACATAGAAATCGTGCGCCTTCCCCTTCAGGTAATAGGATAGGACGAAGACTCGTCTCCCTCGCGGTACATTTCCATCCTCTACATATGCTGTCCCTTCCGTTATGAAACGGTGGAAGGCTCTAGGATCAACGGCCCCATCATACTCCTTTGGGGGAATGGGTCTTAATGTGCTTTTTCGTTTGGATTTTCGTTTTTTGCTCTTACGATGCTTCTTAGACACTCGTTTTTCTCCATCGCTGGCGCTGGATGAGCTCTCACTCGACGACTCACTTGAGGACGACTGAGAGGTAGAGGATTCGGAAGAGCTACTGGATGGGTCATCTGGGAACTGGGATCGACTAGGTTTCGATTCTTTCCTCTTTTTATGAGTTATTTTCTCAAACGCTCGACCCAAGTAGCTCTTGGGTGCTATCTGGGCCGCCGCGTCCATGGTGGGAGGGGTTTCCCTCTGTCCTTGTTTCTTAGAGGGCTGGCTTGCAGCCTTCTCAACCATTTCCCTCACGGGATGGCGAATCTCGGATTCCTCGGCGATTCTGACTCGGGTCTGCCTTCTTGCGTCTGGCTTCGTGAGTCCATCTGCCTTACTTAATCGTTCTTCCAGCTGATGTATCTGGTTCTGGAACCGTTCAGTCATCCGTTGTTCCGTAGCTTTGATGGCTGCTTTAACAGGATCCGCTGGCTCATTGTCTGAATCTGTCTGTCTTGCAGACCCCTCATTAGCCCAGGTTCTCGACCTTGCCCAGGTGGCCAAGGCTTCTCGCTGGGCCTCTGGGTCCACTTCAGACTCTTCCAGATCAGCGCTACCCCAGTTCTGGGGGTCAATGCCTTTTCCCTTTGAGGGTCCTTCTGTTGTAGTATGTAGACTTTAGGATAGGATTGAATATATTAATTTGACTGACTTTATTCTAAATATCACTACAGTATATATACTATGATACGCGAATTGTAAGTATCCGGTCCGTGTGTGTGTAAGCGCGGACTTGTCCATGGTCCGCGTTTTACGATGACAAATCGTGTCCGTCTCGGATAACTCCGGCTATTAGTCGTTCCCTACATTACTCATACTTGTACGTATTACTAAGCCTTTCTATCATGTGCTCGTACCTTCATCTCCATTATGTGCTAACTCTAACACTCCCCCTCGAGCACAGCTTACTCTCATTCCATCTCTCAATCTTTCGAGTCTCGGCTTCGGCAGTGCTTTGGTGAAAGCATCCGCGAGGTTATCGTCCGTTGGTACATACTTCAATTTTATCGTGCCGTTTTCGATAACTGACCTGATAAAGTGATAGCGTATATCGATATGCTTCGTTCTAGCGTGGAACTTGTTGTTTGAGGCGAGGGCGATAGCGCCTTGGTTGTCAGAGTAGATGGTGATAGGTGCGTCTTTTCTTTTATAGAGTTCTTTCAGTAGTGACTGAAGATATAGCACTTCCCTCGTTGCAGACGTTAGCGCGATGTATTCGGCTTCGGCCGTTGACAACGCTATGATCGTTTGCTTCCTCGCGCTCCAAGCTATCGGAGATCCGTGCAGCTGGACCAGGTACCCTGAGATAGAGTGCCTGTGGGCTTGGCTTGCCCAATCTGCGTCCGCGTAAGCCTCTAGATCTTTCTCTTTTCCTCCCAAGGTAAGCTTTGCCTTCTTTGTTGCCTTTAGATAGCGGATGACGCGTTTTGCTGCTTCCCAGTGCAACTTCGCCGGTTCACGCATGAACTGCGATAGTACCGACACTGCTAGCGCTATGTCCGGCCTAGTGCAAGTTGCCGCGTACATTAGCGATCCAATCGCTCTTTGGTACGGTACGTGTTGTTCGGATATTTGAGATTCGGTGCTTGGCGAATGGTCTGACTGTTCTTTTGTCAGCTGTATTCCAGTCTCCATGGGAATGTGTGCTGGCTTTGCGTCTTCGAGGCGGAAGTGTTCGACAATGGTGTCGACATATGCTTCTTGCGATAGCGTGATGGTTCGCGCTGATCTATTGCGCTCAATCTTGAGCCCAAGCAACCAGGTGAGTTCTCCTAGGTCTGTTATCTCGAACTTCTGTCGCAGCTGATCTTTGAACTTTTCTATATGTTCTAGATGCTTTGACGTCACAGCCATGTCGTCAACCGATACCGTTATGACGGTATGCTCGTCCTGTTCCCTCCGATAGTACACCGCTCGATCGACTTGCGAACATGTGTATCCGGCTTCGAGGAAGAATTCTTCTAGCTCCTCGGACCACTCAAACACGGCTTGCTTCAGGCCGTATAAGCTTCTCAGCAGCTTCAAGACTTTTCCCTCTTCTCCCTTCTTCAAGTATCCGGATGGTGCCCGCATATACACCTCATCCTTCAGCGTGGCGTTAAGGTAAGCACTCTTTATATCCACTTGGTGTATCTCCCAATCGTTTCTTGCAGCCATTGATAGGACTGTTCGAATCGTCATCATATTCGACGTCGGGGCAAAGGTTTCTTGGTAATCAATTCCATATTCTTGTCTTTGACCGTTCGCTACTAATCTTGCTCGTAGCTTTATCTTCTCACCACTTGGTCCTCGTTTCATTGCCAAAACAAAATGGCAGGGAATAACGTTAGCTCCCTTCGGTACGTCCACTATTTCCCAAGTTTGTAGCTTCTCTAATTGATTGATTTCGTAGTCAATTGCTTGTTGCCATTCTTCGGCATCTGGTCCGTTTAGAGCCTCCTTGAGCGTTGGCTCACGTTGAGCGGCTGCAAATGCTTGGTAAGTGTTCGAATCTTCTTTGTCCTTCTGTTCTATTATTGCAGCTGATGCTGCTTCTCCTTCATGTAGACTTCGATAGTATCCTGCTGGTGGACGGGTGCGCGTTACTCTTGGTGTTTTCGGGACCGGTAGGGGTTGTGCACTTTGAGGTGGAGTTTTGGGTGCTTGGATTGGTGTTTGGGGGACTTGGGATGTTGCGACGGGCTGGACAATATTCGGTACGTTGATTGGTTCTTCCTGGTTATACTCCCCCTCGTCCAGTACATCGTTACGAATGATGACGTCTGGCGGGACGAAGCTAACATTACGTTCTATAGACACCCGTCTCTTCATCGGCCAGAAAATTCGATATCCTTTGCTTTCGTTGTCCACCCCTACGAACAACGCTTCTTCTGCTCTGGCTTCGAGCTTCCCATGATCTGGTGAGTGCACATATACTCTGGTTCCAAATTCTCTTGCTGCCGCTAAGCTTGGTTTAGTTTTGTGCATCAATTCGAAAGACGTATGCCCAGGAATGGCACGAGACGGTAAGCGGTTCTTTAACCATGCCGCATAATTAATAGCCTCGGCCCATAAGAACTTCGGAAGATCTTTGGCGATGAGCATGGCTCGTGCGTGTTCGACCAGTGTTCGATTTAGTCGTTCGGCTATGCCGTTCTGCTGTGGAGAATCATGTACTGTGAGTTGTCTCATTATTCCTTGATCCTTCAGGTATTCATCAAACTCTTTGCTCAGATATTCGCCTCCTCGATCCGAACGAACTTTGTTCAATTGCGCTCCGTGTTGACGGCTGACATAAGCCTCATACTGTTTGAATGCGGTAAGTGCGTCGCTTTTCTTCTTCAGAAATTCTATCTTCGTCTCCCTGCTATAATCATCAGTAAAACTGATGTAATATAGACAGCCTCCTATTGTTGCTGTTTGTGCAGGTCCCCAGAGGTCTGTATGGACCAATGCACCATAGGTACGAGATTTGGTTTTGGATTCTTCGGGAAATGGCTGACGCGTTGCTTTGGCCTGTGTGCAGGTTTCGCAATACTCCGGTTTTGACTCTATGTCGAGATCTAGACCCTGGATCAATCCTTTCTTCACAGCGTCAAGTATTGCAGTCTGTGACACGTGTCCTAGGGCTCGGTGTGCCTCGAAAACGGTTTGTTTTGTCTTTACTGCGTGTGCTTGATGCTGATTTCGATCCACAACACTGTATAGTCCGTCGACTTGCGGAATAGCAGCTATGGTCCGTCTTTCTGGAGCTGCCATCAAGATTTTGCAGAGTTTATCCTCGAATAGGATAGCGAATCCTGCCGTTGCAATATGATTCGTCGAGATGAGTGTAAAAGCCATTTTCGGAGTATAGAGAGCATTTGTGAGTGTGATGCTCGTTTTCTTGTCTCCCAGAGGTAGATCCATGCTAACGTCTCCTCGTCCTATGGCTTTGACAACAGATCCATCTGCGGTGTGTACATCTTGGGCCTCGATTGGCTCAAATGTTACGAACTTCGACCTGTCTGGGCAAAAATGGGATGTAGCGCCGGAGTCAATAATTGCTCCGCGCTTTTCGACTGGTATGTCTATCTTCTTCACAACATTTGCAAAATCTGACGTTGCAAATGCGTAATCATTTGCTCTTTCGATCTTGTCTGCAGCATTTGCCGTCTCCTTTTGGCCTTTCTTTGTCTGCCTTGGTCCTTGTCCCTCCTTTCCGCTGTAGAAACAACAATACTGAGAGGAACAAATGATGCTCCAAACGGTATCTGTAAATGTTGTAAGGTCACGTGTTGCCTAGTCTGCTATACCTGAGACGACAAGTGCGTTCGACCCTAAAGGGGAAGCAAGTGCAGCGAAGATCTGGTAGTAGGCGCTGAAGGCGCTACTGGTCGGCCAATGCGAAGCGCGAGAAAGCGCGCAGGTACGCGCGAGGCGCGGGAAGCGCGCGCGCGCGTGAGCGGAAACAAGTGAGAGTAAGTGTGAGTTTGCTTAAGTGATGATAGATGAATAACAAGAGATGTGAGCGCGAGGTGTCAAAGAATAGATTGCAACTATATTCTCTAGGTGGTAAGTGGGTAAGTGGGAGTTCCAGTTCGAAAGTTGGAAAGTTTAGTGTCTAATAATATGTACTGCTGGCGCTTATATACGGCGCCTAAGCGCTGTCACGCGGAGCCGAAGCGCTACCGAGTAAGGTATGTAAAGATATATGTATGTAAGTAAGGGTCCATGATATAAATAAAGGTGGAATGATATGTAAATAAGGGAAATAGAAATACACGCACTAGAGAGCTTGGTGGACAGTGGATGGATGCTTCCAGAAGGCTGGCGCTATAGGGCGACCAAGCGCGGGAAAGCGCGCGCGCATATACATCGTAAAGCGCGGTGTAGAAACAACAATACAGAGAGGAACTATGATGCTCCAGACTGTATCTGTGAATGTTGTAAGGTCGCGCGTTGCCTAGTCTGCTATACTTGAGACGACAAGTGCGTTCGACCCTAAAGGGGAAGCGAGTGCAGCAAGGATCTGGTAGTAGGCGCTGAAGGCGCTACTGGTCGGCCAATGCGAAGCGTGGGAAAGCGCGCAGGTGCGCACGAGGCGCGGGAAAGCGAAGGTATGCGCGAGGCGCGGGAAGCGTGCGCGCGCGTGAGCGGAAACAAGTAAGAGTAAGTGTGAGTTTGCTTAAGTGGTGATATGATGCAAGACAAGAGATGCGAGTGCGAGGTACCAAGGAATAGATTGCAACTATACTCTGCTAGGTAGTAAGTGGGAGGTCAAGTGGAAAGTTAAAGTTCCGTAATAGTATGTAATGCTGGCGCTTATATACGGCGCCTAAGCGCTGTCACGCGGAGCCGAAGCGCTACCGAGTAAGGTATGTAAAGCTATATGTAAGTAAGGGTCCATGATATAAATAAAGGTGGGATGATATGTAAATAAGGGAAATGGAAATACACGCACTAGAGAGCTTGGTGGACAGTGGATGGATGCTTCTGGATGGCTGGCGCTATAGGGCGCTGAAGCGCGGGAAAGCGCGCGCGCGTATACATCGTAAAGCGCGGGAAGTCATGCGCGGGAAAGCTGCGCCTCGTAAGGGAATAGCTGTGGACAGCACACAGAGTGATGCTGCAAGTCGTGCTGTGTACTCCCTAGTGGAAAGTGCCATATTACACAATGCGAGGCACGAGTCTCTACAGCGGGAATGGTGCGCGCATGGCGCGCGTTGCGCTCCCTAGTGAATACTGCCATATCACACCATGAGAGGCATGAGTCTCTACACCGCCTCCTTTCCTCCAACAATCGGCTTTATAGTGACCCTTCCTGTCACAATTGAAGCAAGTGATATCTTCACTCTTGCTCGTCGTGGTACGTCCTCTTAGCGTGTTTGTCCTTGCTGTAAACGCACTATTATTCCCTTTCTTCTGTGTCTTGGGATTGGTTATCTGCTGATGTTCGTATTCTTCTGTGATAACGTTTATCAGCTCATACGAGGTAAGCGGCTGCTTCGTTATGCGTGCTGCGGCGTTTATTGATGATAGAATTGGTCTGTAGGATTCCGGCAATGATCCCATAATAATGGCATAGTAATCTCTCTCGTCTATGCTTACTCCCATTCCTGCTAACGATTCTCGGATCCTTAACAGGTCTCCGAAATGCACCTTCACGTCTCCGCCTTCCTCGCATCTGGTGTTCTGGAGTTTGCGTCGCAGATCTATCTGCACCATCTCCGTCTTGCCTTCGTGGATTCGGCATACTTCTGCCCATATTTTCGAGGCTTCCCCGAGGTTCTGGATGCGCAACAATAGTCGGTCCGAGACCGTACTAAATATGTGTTGTTTGACGAGTGAGTCCTTCTGTTGAAACTCGTCTTCCTTCTTCTCCTGTTCTTCAATCTCCGTTTGGGTAGCTACTGATTTGTTTGGCTTCAGTGCTTGTCCTTGCGAGTCGATCTCGAAAGGTACAGGCTCCTTCGTCCTACCATCAAGATAGCGCATCAAACCTCGTGCTCGTATCACCGTTTGGGCCCTTTCCTTGTAGGTTATCCAGTTCGTTCCGTCGTCGGCGAGCTGGGGGATATTATATAGTGATGTGGAACCGGGGAGTCGGCCAGGCTATACTGTTAATATTAAGCATAATACTATCTAGTTAGAAACAGTATGGTTTTGTAAGTTTGTCTCTTAGGGCTTCAGTGCCAATGGTGATGCTTAATGCATTCACACGATGCTTAACGCTCCAGACACTCGTTCTGGCGATTTTTGACCAATCTAGGACGAAATACCAATTCCTGGGGTTCCTTTGATTTGTTCCTGTAGCCAGCAGATCTATGCATTCAGATCGTGGTTCTGGTGGTTCCTAAAATCGGGTCAGGATCTTGCGGTCGAAATTTCACTAAGTCATTTGCGAGTCGGCCATTCTCACTAGATAGTATTATGCTTAATATTAACAGTATAGCCTGCGTCTCCTTTGATTTGTGTAGTAGCGAGAGGGAATGTACACTTGCATAATTCATTGAAGTCTGGATCAATGCTCAATGTTCAACCTCAAAAAGATATCTCCTAGGTCAGTTTGGAATTTTCGAGTACGGCGTTGAATTTCGTATGTCATTAATGATCAAGGGCAAGAAAAATTTAACATATGTACTACCACTATTATACGACGACATGTATACGAAAAACGAGGGACCAGAACACAATAAGTCACAATTATGATATCATTATGATATCAAACAGAAGGTACTGAAAATGGTGCGAGAGATATGTCAGTAAACGATTCAATGCATTGAGCAAGCGTGGACTCACTTTAAAAGTCCTATCTCCGAGTTCTCGCTCGCTTGTTGATTTGGCCAATTTGGTTCGCCTGCGCCATACGGGTGGACTCCTGCCGAATACGACCAGTCTTTCGCAGTGTATTCGGATCAGCAGACTCGATAACCTGCATGCCTGTGTCGACAGCCTTTGACGCACGCTTTCGTTTTACCTTGAGTGTTTTCTCTGGTGCGCTATGTAGCACTTCTCCGTTTTGTGGAGTCTCCGCCGCAGGAGACGCAGGAGGTATGGAAGGGAGAACTGGGGCAGGGAGTGACGGGGAATGGAGAACCGGGGCAGGGAGTGACGGGGCAGGGAGAACCAAAGAAGGGAGTGACGGGGCAGGGAGAACCAAAGAAGGGAGTGACGGGGCAGGGAGAACCGAAGAAGCGAGAACTGGGGCAGCGACAGCCGGGGCAGCGACAACCGGTGAAGGGAGAACCTGTGAAGGGAGAACTGGGGAGTGACGTGGAAGGGAGTGGGAAGGGAGTGACGGGAACATGAATTGTGGGATTGCTATAGGTGGCAAGGAAGGTAGCGAGTGCGAAGGGAGTGACGGGAACGTGAATTGTGGGGTTGCTATAGGTGGCAAAGAAGGTAGCGAGTGCGATGCTGCCGATTGTGTAAACGAACGTGGTGTGATTGGGGACAACTGTAGCGCAGGGGGGAAAGAGTTTGTTGAAGACAGGAATGATCGCAGTGCAGGTGGCGTCCCCCAGGTGGAAGTGCTTGTAGATCCATTGGGCATGCTTGGAGATCCGTCAAGTAAGGGGCGGAGAAGAGGCGGCGGATTTTCCCAATTCGGCGCGTCAAATGATTCTGTGGGATCTTTTGTGAATGAGACGTCTTGGAGGCCGTATCCGTTGGATGACTGCAGACCGACATTGGGGAAGGAGACGGATGGGTCATGTTGGAGGTTGTAGAGCTCAGTGGAAGCAGGGGGTGCAGATAAAACCAGAGGCGGTGATTGAACAGATGTTGTAGCCGGAGGTGTTATGGTAAGTGCATCTGGCTGAGAGCAGCCAGAATCAAGTGGCTGGGAAGCGGATGGCGTGGATGGCGTACTACTAGATGCTGAAGCATCATAGTTGATTGCACGTGTCTTCCTGATGTGCGGTGCTATATTTGAAGTTGCAAACATTGAACATTGAGTCTTTGCTAGTAGTATGGGAAGCACTTACGAAAAATTGTGCCAATGAAGTCGACATACGCCTTCAAGTGTGTCTCGTTGAATTGCGGTGTCGCTTGTTTCCAATTGAGACCAGTTGCATTCACACCTGAATGGTAACTGCAGTGCCTGTGAGATTCCCGCGCTCATAAATCAACAACAACATCTTATCTACCTCATAGCATTAATATTGCCGTCCAAACGCGGGTCTGGTCCAGCGCCGATCAGACTCCATTCCCAACCCGTCATGTCTTTGATGACTTGCATGAATTGTGAAATCGGACCCATACACTCAGTAAGTGCCCTGTAAAATCACCCATTGAGCAACTTAAAGCGTGAGTGTTGTAGAATGGTTCATACATAGCATATTGAGCATTGGTAGGGGCCCCATCTGGCTTCTTGAGGACTTCCGATGCCTTGGCATCCCGTTCCGCCTGAACCTTTGCCCTACACAAGGCCTTCACATCCTCACTCGCGTCCTCATAAGCTGTGCGTGTCATCAATTTCACAGCTCCCAACTTTTCCCTCTTGGTAAGGCCGTTTGAAGCGATGCTCTCCTTCACTTGCTGCTGAATATCATCTGCATACCTCATTTTCGAGAAAACTTCAGCCTCGGTGTGGACGCGGGTGCCCTTGGCTTTGCTGGTAAGTATCTGTCGGATTGTTTTACCCATTGCGTTTACAGCAGTGCGGCCGCTTTTCTGAGAACGGTAATTAAACCAATTCTTGATTTTCTTATGAAATGGTAAGCGGGTCTAATTGGTTCTCATGAAATGATAAACTCACCTTTTGCCTGAGATCAACAGCTGTACCTTTCGCCTCCTTTTGCTCTTCTGACAAGACTCCCGGCGCTTCGCCAAAAATCGCAAGTTCCTCCGGAAACCTTCTGAACCACTCTGAGAACACAGGGCCCCAGAATTGCGTGACAGACGCCCCGACTTGTGCCTTCAAAAAATCGTTGTACTTCGACTCAAGGAAAGCTTTCTGTTCTGGTGTTGTCCATTCTGCAGGCGGCATCTGCCCCTGCCGGATCAGTATGATCTTAATTTAATTTATGAAATGTATGTCATGGCTTACCTCGGCCTTTTTGACAGTCGCGGGTGTCCCAAGTTGTCGAGTTTGCGCCCGCCAACCCGAAATTAAAGTTCAAAATCACACGAGGTCAGTCCGTTGTCCAATCACAATGCATCGGAGCTAAAATTATGCTCATATAATCATTCTATAATCATCCTCGGTTGACATTTTCACTCCCGCGTGCTCCAAATGACAAACCCTGACACTGCCGCCTCATACAACGTACCTGAAAATGGGTACTTTGGGCCAGTATTTACCACGAACGAGCTCACAGCAGCATTACAATTAATTCGCGACCAAGGTATGTTACGCACACAGAAACCTGCCAGCTCACGTACTCGAAATTCACAGTCCAAGAATCCGCCGGCTCATCTGAGACTGAATATTATGGGCCAGTATTCGCTATGAGCGAGCTTGCGTCCGCGCTTAAACTGATTCACGACCAAGATGGTATGTAATTACCTACTAGACCTGCATTATGTATTGACCCATGACACCAAGTAATGACAAAAGCTCACAATGGCTACTCGCTTGCCGATGCACCTTTACCATCGCCTAGTTTGCAGGGCTGCCCTGCTTGCATTTTCCGTACTCACCGTCAAACTTGTTACGTCTGCCGCGCACATATTTCCGCATGTCACGCATCATCCTCCCGGGCCACTGAGTCTATGTCACTCACAACAAACACTACGGCAAACGATAAACGACAACAGTGAAATGGACACTGTACGTGTTTATTCAGTATGACATAATTGAAACTGACGCGGAGATCTTGATCACATCAGGTTTTAACATTGCAGCAACGAAAATTCACGTAGGGAGAGTTTAATGGAGTATCTCGTACATACATGTTCACTTATGTACACCGTGTTAAGCTTGAACTTGAGCGCTTGAGCAATGAACATAAATTCATTAAAACACATCATATCTTGAGCACGCGGGTTTTCGGTCTGGTCACAAAGCATTGGTGTAGTACCTTATCAATTAAGCACGGGTTTTGGTCAGACCAAAAAGCATTGGTGCGGTACCATATTAATGATGATAGTATCAATTGATCCAGGTGCATGGTAGCTTTGACTGTGTATACTCATAATGTTTGTAGAGAATAAGACCCTCATTAAAGCTTAGATGTATTGCGAGAATTGTGTTAAGTTGCAAGTAGTTTTGGTCTGACCATTGCGCAAGTAGCTTTAGCTTTGGTTCAATTGAGTTATGGTCTGACCAGAACCTTTGCACTTCTTTTTCAACCAACTACTACGCCATGCCACGTCCTCCTATACATAAAACAAATCAGGCTAAACTACAAGCCGCTCGTGAAAAGTCCCAGCGCCACTATGCGAAGTACGTTTGTTTAATTAATTGTCTGCGGTGCAATGTTCCTGACTAGGCAACCAATTGAAGAAACAGAGAGAGTATCCTCAAAAGACGACGAGAACTTCGTGTTGAAAAAAATAAACCAACGCGGGAGACCCGACAGTTTGAGAAGGCAGTTGCGAGAGCCTTGAAAAGCCATGACGACTCGGATGAAGATGAGAGTGACACTGAGCTGGAGACTGATGAATCTAGCGATGATGAGAATGACACACCGTATGTTTTATAAATAGAAACTGATATGGCGAACATAAAATTAACATTCAACAGATCAGATCTCCCAGGGTGCCTCCTTGCTCTCAAAGAGATCAAGGACGAGATGTTGTCATTGACCGATGATCGTGAACCCCAGAAATTTGTCGAGGACAACCTCCTTCACTACGTCAAAAGCATCAAATACACGGACGACCGTGGTGATAATGGTGACATCACCATTATCTCAAACACAATGCTCAAGGTTCAAGATATTCTAAATCGCTCAATTCGCGTGCAAGATCAACTCCTTAATTTTTGTGGCCCAATCTCAGACGAGTTTCGTACAGCTAACTCAATGTCTCGATTTCTCAGCACCACGGCTGCATATCTTGAAGAAATTGATTATTTGATTCACTGGGAGGGAGTTTCTGAACTTTGCGTTGCTCACTCGTTAGGGGAGTTAATGTATCAGAAAAACCTCCGCGTTTGAGTCACGTTCACACGGATGTACTAGTGTACGGCTTGCATTTGCCTCGTGTTTACCAGCAATACATCTACCCACCACATTCCAACGACCATGGTTAGCAAACGTCGACGACAATACAACAAAGAAGTGCGGGATAAATTTTATGTTTACAATCAAGAACTTGAAGAGGCTCGTCAACTTGCCTTGGCACCCGCGACACAGAGAGAGGAAGCTTCTCAGACGTCAACCCACCGGCACAAACACACTTCATTCACTCAGACCCAGGATACGACTTGCAGTAGACTATCTGCACGAGTCGAATATTTTGAAGGCTTAGCATCCGTAAGCACGGAACATCAAGCTCAAGTTTTACCCGTGTATGATCCTCAATCTTTCGATGACTTTGATTTCAACATCGTGGATGGTGCGCATGACACCTACTTAGAAGATACCAACACCGAGCAAGTTAGAAAGCGAAAACGCACTGCAGGGGTAAGCACAAGCGCTCTGAATATTTGTATTTGTAAATTAATTTTGTGCAGGATTATCCACTCGCATCATGGCTTCCCGAACGAGACACATTTATCCTGGAGATGTTAAGATTGGAAGGACGCGGAGACTTCATAACTCAAGCCATTTGCCATGGATCGTATGGCTGCTCTTTGCCTGCTGAATTTCGTTGCGAGGATTGTTTTGGCACCGAGCTATACTGTCAGCCATGCACCTTGGAGAAGCACCGTGAGCATCCATTGCACAGGATTAAGGTAAGCCGCTTGAACATTTTCAAAAGAACTATCATTGAACATCTCTTAGCATTGGAAGGACGAGTTTTTTCACGCTGTCACACTCAAATCTCTCGGACTGCGAATTCAACTGGGACACCCCACCCAAGAGCGCTGCTACAACCCCGCTGCTTGCCAAGATTTCATTGTACTCCATGTGAATGGTGTTCATGAAGTCGCTTTAGACTTCTGCGGGTGCGAGACCGCTCAAAGTCCCACCACCCAGCTGCTTCGCATTCGATGGTTCCCTGCAACAGTCCTAGAGCCGAAAACCGCAGCAACATTCAAGCTTCTTCGGCATTTTCACATTCTCTCGTTCGAATCTAAGGTCTCAACGTTCGAATATTGGCAGACCTTAACGCGTCTTACTCACAATAGAGGGGTGGTCGTTGTGAAAGTAAGTTAACTCTTATTAGCGGTTTTGTAATTATCTGACACTCAATGATAGGATCGTTATGATGCTCTACTTCGAATGATAAGGGAATGGCGAAACATTACTTTACTCAAACGCTTTGGACGGGGACACGATCCCGCGGGTACTGGAGCAACAGAGCAAGGTTCATGCGCCGTCTTGTGTCCGGCTTGTCCTCAGCCAGGTAAGAATCTTCCTGAGAACTGGGAGAGTGCCCCTCCCGAAACTCGGTATGTGCTTCAACCTGTATCATTAGAATTGCGCTGATCAACTTTATCCAGCTGGTTATATGCCTTGTTTCTCGCGATTGACGCGAACTTCCGTCTGGCACGCAAGAATGTTTCATCAGATCAAATGGACCCTGGGCTCAACCGTGGCTGGGCGTACTTCGTGGAGGAACGACAATACAAGACATTTCTTACTGATGTCGGGAGATGTCCGCAGGAGGTAAGGTCATTCAATTTCAAACTCGAATCATGTCTGACAGCAACTTAGAAAAGCACATGCGCAAGCCATAACGCAGTCAATTTAGCAGAAACGAAAAACTCTCGGGGCCTGGCAGCCACTGGAGCAGGAACCGTTGACTGCTCGCGACACAATTTCAAACGACCCTGTGGTGTCGGTGACTTGCAAAAAGGAGAAAAGTACGTCAATGACATGCCTGATTTAACTCTGTTACTGATGCTTGCTTTTTTATAGGTACGTGAACATGGATTATCTCTTCTTTTCGACCATGCAATACACGGGGGATATTGCGGTCCTCAACATATCTTATGACATCGCTTGTCAATGGAGCACGAATCTTTGGCAGCGCATGCATCGATACCCATCGACGATTCATCTCCGCCACCACGACAACAAGACCATCACGTTTCTTGTGCCAAAATTCCATCTTCCTGCGCACATCGATATTTGCCAGATAACTTACTCTCACAACCTCCTCAAAGGCATGGGCCGGACAGATGGAGAGGCACCTGAGCGTGGATGGGCCAACATCAATCCGGTTGCTACGAGCACTCGCGAGATGGGTCCAGGATCACGCCGCGATACTCTGGACGACCACTTCGGTGATTTTAATTGGAAGAAGGTCACGAATATGGGTAAGTATCATTCAATATGTCTTAGTTAACTACATCTGACTCGTTATTTAGGTGTCAGTCTATCACGAAAGCTCAAAGCCGCTGTTCCTGAACGCGACCAGCATGTACGCGATTTTGAAGACTTCGACAACGCACTTCAACACGAGAGACCCGAACAGGTGGCGGAATGGAGGCTGGCAGTGGAAAAATGGGAATCAGATTCGTCGCAAGAGAATCCGTTCGCACTTACAGGCAAACGTATGTCACTAGATTGTCCGAGGAATTCGAAATACTCACTATCGTCTAGCACTAACGCAAGCAGCTGTACGACTCAGTCTCTCTCAGCAAGAAGCTGACAACCTCGAGCATGGTATGGATGACTCACTGCACGAGGAAGTCTCGCGCAGTGTGTTAATCTCCTCAGGAATGGAGATCGAGGATCAGCAGTAAGTCTTCAATTGTCGAAGTTTCATATACATGCTGAGGCTATTTTGCAGGTGTCGGCTTGCGAGAGATATCGAGCTTCTGGGAGGGCACCCAACGGACTTACAGCGCACGAAGCTTCAAGAACGGAGCAACATTTTACGACGCAAAATAGAACAATGGAGCAAGGTCCAACTTTTGTACATGCCGGTCGTTGCTCGCCTTCGCGCATCAGATATTCCAACCAGCAGGACCCATTCGACTGAGGAGAAGGTTCACGAGATCGAACTGTGGCTTCCCTCCAAGATCTACGGAGATGCAGCAGACCCAGTGCATCAATGTGATGCCACGCTGTGTCAGTATGAATGGGAGCTTCGCAGGGCCCAGGCATATGATGCGCTGGATGAGCTCCGACGTCACCTGCGACTACGCGCCCATCTTTACAAATTCAAAGACGCCCATATTCGTGGCCAGCGGGCTAACACACGCGCGTCAGCTATCATTGACAAAGTCGAGTCGAATGTGTCCGTCGCTGCTGCAAGATATCGCAGAGCATGGTCTGCACTCGAACATCTCTCCTTTGCTCTGTCTCGCACTACATGGAAGGAGGAGTTCCCGAAACTGGAGAATGACGACATCCGCGGCATGTCTCAAGGCAAGCCAGGCCAATCGTCTGGCAACCGTACATTGTCCTGGATATGGAAGGCACGTGGCATCGCTAGTGACGCTCCTGAAGGGGAGACGGTCCTCAACGAATGTAGGTTATGTTTTCTTTTATTATTTTACAATTGCTGATACCGAATTATTACTAGCATTAAGAATTGAATGGTGCAAGTCTCGCGCACGAGCTACGCGTTGGGTCGAGGAGGTGCAACTTCTTCGAGAGGAGATGAGGCGTGTCGCGGCATACCTCTTGTGGCATGCTGCGTGGTGGGATGCGCAAGCAGATCGTCGCACAGGGCTCGCGCTTGCAGAGGTTGAAGGTATCAGAGGATATGCAAAGCGTCAGGCAGCCGTGCGGCGGGATCTCCATGATACATTCCTCTCAAAGTGGGGTGCCGTGAATGGCATTTTTTAATTTACACAGTGATCTATTTACAATGTTCTGACGAAGCAATCAAATTCATTGGTGACGCACTCCGGTCCTAAAAATACCAACATTTCCAGTAGCATCGAGATCACAAGAGAGATCCCGATCTTTGGAACCACTGAGGCATCGTGCCTGGTATCATTCGAGTGACATGGGGGATGTGCTGTTGAGGACGTGAAGCTTCATGAAGCTTCACGTTGGTAGCTCAGAGACGAACTTACAAAAGGTACTGTGTGTAATTAGATATGGTTAAGTATCACCCTGCCATGAACAGGTGAGTCGGCGGGGAGCGTCGTATCCATGGTAGTAGCAGGGCTCATAACCTGTTGTAGTATGTAGACTTTAGGATAGGATTGAATATATTAATTTGACTGACTTTATTCTAAATATCACTACAGTATATATATACTATGATACGCGAATTGTAAGTATACGGTCCGTGTGTGTGTAAGCGCGGACTTGTCCATGGTCCGCGTTTTACGATGACAAATCGTGTCCGTCTCGGATAACTCCGGCTATTAGTCGTTCCCTACATTACTCATACTTGTACGTATTACTAAGCCTTTCTATCATGTGCTCGTACCTTCATCTCCATTATGTGCTAACTCTAACACCTTCGTCATGCGACGACGACGTCTGCTCGCTCCCGCGAGCCCTTTCTTCAACGTGTCTCCTATCAGAGATACGTTGTTTCTCTTCTTGGGTGAGGTGCTTCTCAGCTTCTCTCACTAGGTCAGGTTCAATCTGATCCTTAGTCTTGGGCTTGCGTTTGGCTGCCCGTCTAGACTTAATTCGGCGGTCCTTGACCGTTTTCCATGGTGTGCCACTCTCTGACTCCGCCGAAGATTCACTGGTGGTGACGAATGGGTTATTGACAGGTTCGTCATTTAAATTTTCTACTACACCGGTCGACTGACGACGACCAGTCGTTGCGCTATCAACGCTAGCCGAACGCACTCCAGCCTCTGGCTGGGGCGTATCTGACCTCATTCGTACCACGTCACTATAGGAGCGAGCGGGTCTGAGAACGGAGTCACCCAGACGCGAGAAGGATCTCTCGGTAGGGGACAGGGTTGGGGTTGCATCGTTAGTGCTATTTTCAGTTAAAGGGGACTCAACTAAAGTCCCAGGGATCGTTTGTTCAACGTTTAGCGTTGCGGAACGTTGGGATTGAAGGTTGTAGTGTGAAGACATGGTATGTTTTTGGTTCATTGTGGTACTTTACGGTGGGCCTAACCGTAATCGTTCCAGGGACGAGGAGTTTTAACGAAGGTTTGTTATCGGAAAGTGGGAAGACTTTTGGATGTTAAAAAAGATGTGACAGTGACTATTTAGCTCGCGAAGCTCGAAGTCAATGGCACAAGAGAAGAACGTTCTCGGGAAATAACAGGATAAAAGTCTGATATTTTGGGTCCAGAAAACACTACTGTACGACTACGAATGGACTCTGTTTTTATACTACTGAGGTTCGGGGGATAACGGTAAAGAGAGGCAGTGGGGACAGAAACGGGTAGTAAGTACGTCGGCCGAGCATATAGTAGAGTAGCTGTAGCTATAGGAATAAATGAGTCCAATACGTTTTAGACAAGGGTGAGAAGCAGTCAGTGACGAGCACGATCTCTGAGTGACTGTTACAGAGCTGTTGCCAAATAGACAACCACAACAACCCTTGAGCACCCACACTTGTCCTCATCGCGCCCACAGTGCACACAGGACTGGCAGCAGTACAAAGAGCAGTACAGGTTCTAGGTTCTACTCCATACGGAAGTAGACCGTAGGAGGTGGGACCGGGAAAGATGACTGTTCCGGAAAGTCTATGTCGATTCAGTCATTTACATTAAGGTGCGTTCAACTCTTAAGTCTGTCCACAAAATTTGACCTCTGCATCCCAAGACTCCAACGTGCACCGTCATCTGGCGGTTCTGTCTTGCTGTACGGTACCAAGCAGTGGCCCATGTGGGCTAGTAGTGTTTGATGTCATGCACAGCAGCCTTGCGGCCTTGAAGCAGATGAGCGCCAGGAATGTCTGGTGTCAGCATGCGCAGTAGCCTCGTGACTTTGAAGCACAATTCATCCTTTAACTGTGCATTCCACCACCACCCAGCAGGCTTTTCATAGTCCCGAGATCATGACAATAGAATATCTATCTCACAATTCCGTGTCATTCGATAACTTGGCCATCTCGCGACCTTTTTTTTTTGTATAGATCCATAAGTCTGGTTCAAACCGTCGTACGTTGTTCCTTGAGACTCGCCAACATGATATTTAACTCTCAAACGCAGCTAGTATCTACTAGTTTCATTCCAGTACACAGTCGTGTCACGACCATCGTAAATGAATCAGGATTATTGTCAGCATTTCTATCCTATCCCTCTCTTACTCTCTAATCCCATTAGCAGTCCTGTCATCGCTTGAAAGAACTTGGGCGAGGCTGTCCCAAGTCGCTGTCCATGGCGCAGAATATGACTCCCGTGAACGACAGCCCCACCCGAAATGTTTGGAAGGGACTCGGGTGGACCTTCTCGACTACATCTACAGGTTGCTAAACAACCGAGAGCAAAGTCGACTCATCTGGCTACATGGTACTGCTGGGGTTGGAAAGTCTGCCGTTGCGTTCACTGTAGCTGAAAGGATGAGGAGTCTAAAAGTGACAGAGGAGACGAATGTCGAAAAGCGGCTCGCAGGAACATTCTTTTTCTCACAAAAATACACCGAACGCTGCACGACCGCATATTTTTTTGCGACACTTGTCTATCAGCTTGCTAGCAATTTTCCCAGCATCCGGGCGGATGTGAGCAAATCGATCCGCGATAATCCCGCTCTCTTAGATCCCAGCGAGTCTCTCCGCGTCCAGGTGGAGACGCTCTTTCTTCAACCACTCCGTGGGCTTCACCTCAGATTGCGCGGGTGTCAGCCTTTGACTTTTATTGTCGATGCCCTTGATGAGTGCACATCCGAATTTGAGCTTGCCGATCTCATCCTTTCCCTTGCACGGGTTCTTCATGAGCCTGATCTGCCCGTGATCCACATTCTTCTCACAAGTCGCTCGGAATTACATATATGTAGAACCATGGAAAATGAGGAAGTGCGGTCGTTGGTGTGCGAGATACCAGCGACAATCTCTGGAAAGGGCATTGATAGCATCATCTCATTGGACAGCGCTAACGTCGACAATGACATCTATATCTTCTTGCGGAATTTCTTCGGACAGCTGGGAAGTCGCCATCTTGACTTTCCTCAACCATCAACTGAACAACTTGAGCGACTTGCAAGCCGAGCGGGCAGACGTTTCATTGTAGCGTCTACGATGATGAAGTTTATCGACAATGAAGATAATGATCCCTACGATCAGCTGATGCTGATGCTCGAGCTAACAAGCGAGCTGCTACCAGGAACAGAGGTGTTCAAGTTCTACGATTGTATCCTCTCTACGTGTGCCGACCCTAAGCGGGCATATCTGCACTTGTCTGTCGTTGCTGCTCTCACAGACCCTCTGCCTCTCTCGCAAATCTCGACACTGCTTGGCCCCGGTTTGGGCAAGGATGTTGAGACAACTCTGATGCAGTTGCGGTCTGTCGTGGACATCCCTGCAGACAGCACTCTCCCCGTGAATATCTATCATTCCTCCATTCGCGACTATGTTTCAGATACCTTAAACTGCAGCCTCCGTCAAGTACACGATATGCCATCACCTCACTGCCTACTCGCACATTCCTGTTTCCGCTTGATGATGAAAGGCATTCCAGAAAATGCTGCACTTCTTGATGCCCTCTCGCAATTGGAGACGCAGAGCTCCGCTATGGAACCCGAGCTCCCCCGTGTGTGAAAACACTCATTGGCCTTCCTCATTCAACCGCCGGAGCCACTGTCAGTCCTCAGCGCTATTTTATGGCTTCGGGGAGATCGCAGTTCACATTCACAATCTTGGCTAGAGACTGTAGAGGGTCGCAACTGGCTGCAGACCGATGCAGGGCAAATGTGGCTGCTGTGGATTGAAGCTGGGAAAGACTGGCTGCTGAACACCCGAGCAGGGAAGGAATGGCTACTGCATGGGATTGGGAAAGAAATGCTGGTCGGAAGCGAGGAAGATTGGCTTCAGGATCAAGACGACCAGCAAACCTGGGTGCAGGCCCCGGGCAAGCAAGCTTGGGTGCAGATCTCAGGCGAGCGAAGCTGGATGAAGACCCCGAGTGGGCGAGACTGGCTTCAAACCCCGGGTGTAAAAGACTGGCTACAGACTCAAGACGGGCGACACTGGCTCCATACCCCGGGCGGGCAATTCTGGCTCCATACCAGGGACGGTAGAGATTGGCTGCAGACCCCATGCGGGCGAGACTGGCTGCAGACACCGACCTTGGTGGATTGGCGGCAGACCCAGGCAGGGCGAGAATGGCTGCAGACGCAAGGAGCGCAAGATTGGTTGCAGACCCAGGCAGGACGAGAATGGCTGCAGACTACAGGAGGGCGGAACTGGCTGCAGACATTGATAGGGAGAGAATGGCTGCGGACACAGGGAGGGAGAAACTGGCTGGAAGGGCAAGATGTCCAGGCGGCACTGGAGGAATTCTCAAGCACACTGGAAGCAATCAACGGGTATATCATCTTGCCAGAAATGCGTTTACTGCCAGCTTTCCAAGTCATCCAGCAGTTCAAGAACTTGCCGGATTTTCTGATGCTTCCGATGTTCCTGGCGTTAAGACACCATCATTCCACCTCTGCATCACCAAGTCTTTTTCCAATAGACGAGGAGATCATGCATGCTATGTATACCTTTACGACATTCGCAGACGAAGCACTGAAACGGAGTCGATCAGCCTCCGAGGCTCTCAAGTATGCTTGTCGAAACTGGGCTGTCCATCTCTCGCGAGCTCCACATCCATGGGATAACAAGCTTGATCATATATTCCATGCTTTCTGGAATCATCGCCTCCTTTCTTGGCTTGAACTGCAGTGGTGTTTGAAAGGCCTGCAGTCTTGCCTCGTTATTTTATCTGAAGGACAGAAACTTGCAAAGGTCTGTATTTCTAATCATTCTTGCCACTCATCCTGGAAACTAATATTACTTCATTCTATGTCCACTGTCTTATCCTCATCCTGGACCCCATTCACGTGCAGCCCAATAAAGTACAACCTGCTATTGTTCCTGACCCCAAAACGTCGACAATGCAATCATCAACACCCCCGCCCACCTCCGAAATGTTGAAGAAGGAATCGTCATCTCCCATACTTACTCCTCCCTCAGGGCTCGTCGGAACCCCACACGTATGTGTAACTCACCAACACACCTCGTGGCGTTCTCCCTCTAGTCCACCCTTTACATCACCCTTACCACATTCTCCCTCTCTGGAACTAGAAATTGCTGTGTCTCATGCTGGCACATCCAGAAAGCGCACGCTAGATGAACTTGGGCTTGATAGTGACATCCCATTCGAATATGTTGCCACCCCTACGCCCACAAAACGCCCAAAACGAGACAGCCAGAGCATACAGCCAGAGTGAATACCCACCTCTATCGAGATTTCCTCCGCGAGCATCTTGACGCGTGCAACGTCAAAAACCCGTTTGCACTGACCAAGTCGTTCCTGCGAGAGCGTCCTAGTTGTAAAATGGAAGTTTATCTCATCTTAGCGCGCCATTGTTATTTCATAGACTACTAATATATGCGCTCATACTTTGTAAATGCTATTGAAACTAAGATTCTTGTAATGCTGTCTGACTACAAGACAAGTGAATTTAATGCAGCACTTAGTCTCCCTTAGACAGCCTTTAAGAGATACAAAAGGTTAGAGAGTTTTCCTGATGCTTCTCCCGCTCCCTTGTCAGGTATCGGTGCAGAATACTCACTGCATCTGTCACCGGGATTGTGGGAACACTGACTGTATGCTCCGGGTCAGAAGAAACAAACACGGTATTCGCCAGGGAACAACATCAGTAAAACCTCGGATTTATTTTCCTTCATTATCCCACTTTTCTTGCCTTGGCGCTGGCGCTAAGGCATAAAAATTAATACAAGGAGTGATAACTCGATCTTTCCGAAATTTCTCAAAGGCGCAAAGGAGCGGTCCATTGGTTTTGCCACACAAAGGAGAGAAAATGCATATTAAGAGAGAAAAGAGTATTATAGATTCAAATAGTGTACAAGTAGCTAGATCAAAATGCAATCTCAAAGGCGTGATGGTCAGCGTATTTATTGATGTAGTAGGCGCGGAATGCATCATAGGAATGATAAAATTTGAGCTCTGGAGGCAGGAATTCCATGCCGTACACGGGAATAAGATGGGCAGCGCGATAAATGGCGTCAATATGAATGATTGCGTACCCAGCAGTATTGTTTGCACCCTCTCCTGGACGAACCATCCACATTCCCGTGTCTTCGTCTGCAGCATCGCCGATTTTGTCGAACCAGCGAACCACAACGCAGGGATAAACTTCGCCCCGGTACTGGAATGAAAAAAATGCGCAAACGCGCGCGACTTCGAGACCTTGCATGCCAGGTAGACTAGAGTCTGTGTTGACAAAGACACAGTCGTTGTGTGAATGCCCACCTCGCCAGGAGGGACAAGAGCGGATGTGTTCAGTGCGCATGCCACCAATACCACTCAAATCGCTCGGCGCATAAAACCGCGATGATGCCGAGTTGAAGACTGCAATTTTGCTGAGATAGAGGGGGCATTCAGAAAGAGGTACATTGGACGGATCGCGGGGGTCATCAGGATGCATCTGTTGAAATAAGAAGCGTCTGAGAAGGTCAGATAGGTGAGGAATATCAAGTTCCTCGGCGAGTTCAGGAATGGTTTGAGCGCGATTTTTGCCCTCTGTACAGTATGTTCAGTATTACGTTGAAAATCAGGAAAAAAGGACACCTACGGCGGGTTTTTGCCAGCGTTACGAACACTTGTAGAACGGTGGGCCCGTCAGACGGTCTATGTCGAGGTCCACATCAATATTGATCAAGGGAGGTGGAGGTGGTGCAGCAGGAGCAGGCACATGCATATCTGCTGCTGCTGCTGCTGCTTGAGCAGGTGCGAGTGCTGCCGCCCCGCCGTCTTCATCAACTTGGTCGATCTGCGCAGGAACTGTTATGCAAATTAGTTGAAATATATCTCGTAAGAAATGCGCGACTTACCTAAGGCATTGACTGCTGAGAGACAAGTGCCAGTGAGCATCCCCCGACGCGTGAAGTCGACTCGCAGTGCTGAAAGTTTGTTGAGCCGTTGATTGGTCAGTAATATCTGACCAAGCGCATTGAAACGGCTCGATCGTCGCCAGGGCTCCTTGACCGCTTTGATGTGCTTGTTCTCGGTGATTGACGAGCAGAGACCATTGGGTGCAGCAAAGAGTCGAATGTTTCGAACATAGTGCATGAGCGAGTGTTGACGAGGTAAGGAGAAGTGAAGGACGACACCCGTTGTCCTGAAGATTTCGCGGTAACGGTGAAAACGAGAGAGCGCATCTTCGATTTGAAGTAGAGAGTCTTCGGTGATGATATTGCGACGTACTAGATAACAAAAATCTAGAAGCGCACGAAAGGTGCGAACGACGTCTTGAGGTACATGGCCCTCGATAGCAGGTAAATAGACCTAAAGGATTCAATATTAGGTAGTAACAATACACAAAAATGACGACTCACTTTCATCAAGGCCTTGGAGTCATCTCCTGTCCACTGCTTGAATCCGCGCCCTTGAGGAAATCGTCGCAAGCCTGAAAACGAGGCGACAGCAGCAATTTTATGGCAATGATAAAAAAGTAAGCAATCCAAATACAAACCGAGCTCACCTGCGGTCAATATCATCCATAATTTTCTGTGCCTTCCGTTTGTTGTGTGTCTGACGGAGGTACTTCTCGACCCACGTCACGAGGTGATCCTTGAAGGCGTTTTTTATAAGTTGATGGAGGATATCTGGTGATATCATTTGATGGATATCGGCTCGGGGAAAGTCGTTTGTGAATGGCTGTCGAAATAGTATTAGTTTTGTAAATGAAAACAAGAGAAAAACGCTGAATGACTTACCACAAGTTGCGCGACTATTCCGAAGTCTTCCCAAAGATCTCCCGAGGGAGCTTCTTCGACGAGTGCCTCTGTATATTCGCGGCTACGGGGCAGCGCATCTTCGTCGAGATCTTCACGATTTGCAACACACCTTTAGAATAATGTGAGCGACCATGTAAATACATATTAAATGAAAGACATACTTTGGACACCAATTACGGACAATGCACGCTAATAAAACTTGCTCCTCATAATCCGCTATGTAAGGCCCTAGTCCATATATGACATGCCGGTAGTGGCCATCTCCGAAACGCGTTACTTCGGGAGTCGTCATGCCCGGCTTGAGCGGATCGAGAATTTTGGAAAGGGACGAATGGAATAACTGTCGACAAAATCTTCGGAACGAAGGTTCTTCAGCATGTTCCTGCGTAGCTGTATCATAGTTAGTCAGTTATAGAAATAGATTGCAGGATTGAAACATACTTTTCGGCATTGCCAGGAACCCAATGACGGCCACACCATCGCGATGCGCTCTTCGAACATTATTGTGGATGTTCCCAATGGAAGCATAGAGCGGGTAGTACTCGTTGTTACCCGTTCCGACTGAAACTGTCGTTTTGTCGCTGCCAAGGATGACAGGGACAAATGTCGACCCGAGAGTGCTCGGGTCTTTCGCGATTTCGTCCTAGATACATAGAGCCGTTAATATCAGACATTACGAAACAAAAAATGCATTACTTACTGCTTGATCCCACACCCAGTCACCAGACATGAAATCCTTCCATTGGCGCTTGTCGCCCTCAGTTGAATACTCCCTATACGGGCAGTAATCCATCTCGTTAGCATAAGTCGAATTTGCGAGCATATTACGCGCAACTTCACGTGGGTCACGGAACCAGACTTTGTATTCGCCATCCATCCAGGGCTTGTGCTCATCTGCAAGTCTCTCGCCATCATAGGCGACCATAAAGCGTTGCCATGGTACATCCCCAAAGGGCGAACTGTCAATGACGTGGTACAGATCACGGTGATCTGCAAATGGCGGGTTGTCATTGTGCTTTGCGAGGGTAGATGCCCATAGATCTAGTAGCCGGTCAATTTGACCAGCTGGCATTTGATTGTGCTTGTAAAGGAACTCGGCCGTTTCAAATTCTGTGCGGTTTCGAAAAGGCGTCCAGTCATTGGTTGCGAGATTCTCAGGAGATGGAGGTGGAGCGCCAGGGGGGAGGAATACACCATTTACATCACATGGTCTACCTGTAATAGCGCTCATTAAAGATAGAGTATCAGGCAGTAAATTGACGTACCGTTGAGACCTGTGTGATAATTGCGATAAAGATGATCACCACGCCCAAAAAATTCTGTGTCGACGTCTGCATGGGGGGATTGTTGGCGCAGATGTTCGTCCATATCGCCCTGGTAACCATCCACATCGACATCACGCTCATTGTCTTCATTGTGAGATGGGTGTGGGCTTGGTGTTCGGGGAACAGGTTCCAGAGATTCTCGATGGTTGTCTTGAGGCGGTACTGGCATCACAGGATGTGCCGAAATTTGGTGTTTTGTTCGCCCAGCAGAGCTTTTGAACCATCTTGAACATGTTCCACATGGGAGTTGGAGTGCGCTATGGTCCCGTCGGCGTGGTTGGATGCGTGGAATATCAGCAGGCATCACAGAAAGTGAAGACACTTGAGATTGCGTCAATAAGAGTGCGTGGCTGAAATAAATCGATACCTGCATTTTTGTTGAGTTGATTTCCAAGTGACTGAGCTCAGGCCAGCCAAAGAATGTGTCTAGTTGATGTGACCGGCTGGAAGTGTAGACATTTGAAGTAAGTATGGCGCGAAAAGACAGAATAATGCAGGACTTACTTGATGGTTTGGACAACTTTACAGGTGCGCAGACCAGAGAGTCCTGCTAGTAGCGAATTGAATTAGCGATCGAACTTTGTTTGGTTAGTTCTTAAGTACGGAACTTACAAATTGGTTGTCAATTTTCAACTTCAACCATTCTACTGACCACTCATTACATTTCCCTGGCCGTCCCAAGCTTGCCATAGAGCCTGTCAAATCCGCTACTCGTCAGCAATGTCCGACACCGCTCAGAAGTCACGCACTCGCCCACAGAATGCAAACAAGCATCCAGGCTTGCCTGACCTGCCAGCAAAAGGACGTCAGCGACGGACTAAGGCCCAGATAGCAGAGGACAACCGGATTCTTAAGGAATCGCGCGAAGTTCAAGAGCAGGCCGCGCTTGAGGGGCTGCAACGGCTTGCAGCCATGCAGAAAGAAATGGAAAAGGCGGAGGAACTCACCGTCGTGAACAAGCCAAAGCCAGTGAAACCTCGTGCCCGCCCTGTCGTGAAGCGAACAGCGCCTGATAAGAAGCTCCTGACAACAGGAAACGCTGGTGAGTGCACAAGCATCAAATGAGGCTCACTTACATGGGGCTAACATTGTTGAGGACCTAGATGAAAGTGGTCAAGACAACAGCGGTCATGTTCAAGACGACAGCAGTCATGTTCAAGAGGAAATGAGTGAGAAGTCGAAGACTCAAAAGCGTGGCAAGATCTCACTAAAAGATGCAATCAACAATGCCCGAGATTTGATCGCAATGCCAGGAATCAGAAGCCAGGAACCACGTGTCGAAGACAAGAAAGGAAAGTTATCTGCGAAGTACGTCTTTTCGACTTGATCAAAACCATGTTGATGCTTACCGAATCAACACTATTCTTTGTTAACTTAACCTCAAAATTCAGGTCGACCAACTTAAAGTTTTCATTGGCAGGACGTGTCAATGGCTGGGTATCTGACGTTACACCAGATGAGAGGTCCAAAGCTTCAAGCGCTTCCAAGTCTTGCACCACTGCCTCCCCTTTCTCATTGGCGCATGGGCCACCCAGCACCCAGGTTACATCTGTATCAGGTGTAAATACCAAGTCCAGTCGCCAACCTAAAGTCTCTTCCAATCTTGCTACTACTAACAAACCTGTTCCTGAGGTTCTTGTTGGCGGCTTTGCCGATGACACTTTGGATGATTCCCAGGAACGCCTTGAAACAATCGCCTCGAAAACAAAGGAGAAGAAGTCTTTTATTAAGGTGCGTAGAGCATATGTAGTCTTACTGATTCTAATACAAAGTGAACTATATAGATCACTACCAACATGAGGACCGATGATGCGACAATGGGCTCGAAGGGCCAGTCTGATCTCAATGTGCCAATGGACGTGGAGGCCTCCATGCCATCAGACATAGAGGCAGACTTCGAGGATGATGGCCTAACAGACTTCGAGGACAATGATCCAATGGACGCAGAGGATGACGTGGAGAATGATGTGGAGGTTCTGGAGGACAACTTCAACCCGAACAAAGATGCGAAGATGTCTGAGGACAGTGACGGTGGCAGTGGTTTATCATTCCACCGTCCGAATAACAAGAAGCGCAAGGTCTTGTTTCACTTATTGTCCTCAGATGAGGAACTTGAGGCTCCGCTTACAGCTGGTGTTGGAGCGGTCGTGAAGAAGGCCATGCGGGTAACATCTTCAGTAAGTCTATTTCATTAACAGTTATTGCTACTTATATTTGTTTCAACAGACTTCAGTCGCTGTCTCTGAGGCAGCTGCTACAACAAAGCCACCTGCGAAGAAGGTGAAGACTGAAGAAGTTGCCGATGATGATATGAAACCCGTGCTCGTTCCATTGCCCGGTCACTGGATCGAGAAGCGATATAAGTCACGCTCAACCTACCGGAACAGTGATCTCCCTCCACAATGTCAGGATCAACGGTGGCCCAAACATTTTCTCTCGACCCTTTACCTGTGGGCCGGCAGCCAAAATGATCTCTGGCAGTTTGCAGATACCTCTCTTGTTGAAGCGCTTCAATGCATTTTTGATGTCATTTATCCAGATCTCCAGTACAAGGTGACCGCTCAGGGATCTGTCTTTGGTGTTGTGCGTCTAGCAATTTTTTTTGTAGCACTATTGCCAACTCATTGTGATCTCAATAAGGCTACTCAGCGTCTGGCAGAGTGGCGCAGCAACTTCGGTTCAACAGGACTTGCAATTATGATTGACTTCTTCGCTCGGAACGAAGACACACATCCAAAAGACCTTAGCGAAGCGCTTATGGAGGAGTTTGTGTTCCTCTTCGAGGACTTGGACTACTCAGACAAGATGAAAGCATTCCGGTCTCCTTTCATGATACAGTTATTTGCAACCGCTCATCTTCACAGTATTGTTGGACATGCTCATGTCACCGCCATCAAAACAGATGTATTGGCTGCTGGCAGTGGCATGGCTGGTGTTCTTGCTCTCTGCGCAACTTCAGTAAGTATTCTGACCATACAAGAATCATGACTTATCACATTTGACAGCTCGAACGTGCTGTCAAATGCCTCGGCGCTGGTGCCATTGATATTGATGTGGACATCCTCGATATGCGTCCTGCACAACTGAAGCGCAAGCTGCGCACACCGAAGACCCTCAACAAGTGGACCGGCAACTACAGCACCACCGAGCACGCATTTTCCATCAACAACTGGGGGTCAGTAACCGAAGCTTACTTGGCTAGCGTAAAGAAAAAGGGGGACATTTTTTTGAGGGACATGATTTCAACAGCGCAGAAGTTACTCAAGAAATCGGGCAGTGCTGGCCTCGAGAAGTACCTTCGCCTCAATGGCGATGACGAATCAGAGGACATCGACAGGCGTGCCATGCTTTGGTAACTAGTAATATTGGTTTTTTTTTTTTGCGTTATTCATGAGCTAACATCATTTGATAGACCTCGTTCCCGCCATGCTTGCTGTCCGCTTCCATCATTGCCATTGATTCAAGTTCATACTATCGCGTTTTGCTTATCCCACCACCACTCATAATGCCTTTTGTTGTCTTTAGTCTCGTTTCACGCTCTCTGCACCGCCACCCTTCTTTTCGCTAGCGTTTCGTACTCTTCTTTTCGCTAATGTTTCGTACTTTACTTTGTGTTCCCATTTTCATCACTTTTTTGCACTTTCCACCAGATGATGTGATACCGTTTGCTCTCTATTATTACCACTTTGTTTTGTCGGTTAATGCCTCATAAGTGACTTTCATGAGCTGCAAAGTAGAATTCAGAGGACGAGTGGCATTTTTCTCAATTTTCTCATCGTGTCTTTCGTGTCACCTTAATGGTTCCTCAAACCTGGTAAAACTCGGAAAAATAGAAATAAATTCAAAATCTTTAGCGAAAATAGACCCGAGGTTTTACTGATGAAACACAACATGGTGGTCCTGATTATGAAGAGATGTTCAATTAGCACAACAAGGCGATCCCGGGGGTCATTATATCCGTCATCGACGAACTTCATCATTGTAGATGCTACGATGAAACGTCTGCCAGTTCGGTTCGCCAGCCGCGTAAGATTATCCACAGTGGGCTGAGGGAAATTAGGATGGCGATTTCGCAACTCCGTGAAGGAATGCTGCAAGAATGTACAGGTGTCATTGTCCACGTCTTCGCCGTCTAATGACATGGTGCCAGCAACGCCCTCCCCAGAAGTGTTCTAGCGTGCGCATCTCTTCGTTTTGAATGGCTTTACGGATATGCTCCTCCAAGCGACTGGTGAGCAGAATGTGGAACATGGGAAGTTCAGGATTACGAAGAGCTTCCCCGAGGAGTGAGATCAGATCGGCGACCGTTTCAGGTTGGCATTCATCGAGGGCATCAACAACAAACACCGGAGGCGGACACTCGCGCAGCCTTAATTGCAGGTGCCAGAGAGGTCGACGAAATAAGTTAAGAACGCCATCATTTGGTCGCGAAGAGACTCGCTGGAGTCTCGCGGATAGCTTTGTTCACGTCGTTCTTGACTCCGCTGGGAGAATTGCTCGCAAGCTAAGGGTCGCAAATAAATGACCGGTGTGCTTGCGCGAGAAAAAGAATGTTCCCGCGAGCCTTGTTTCGATTTTCGTCTCCTCTGTCATTTTCAGACCTTTCATCCTCTCGGCCTACGCATACGCCGATACGCGTACCATCCGGCGTCGACCATATTGCATGATCACATCATGAACTTTTGCTGTATCATGGTAAGTTATGTAATTGCTCAATAACTCGAACACCCGCAACGTTGCTCTGAAGTGAGCAGATGGGCCTGAGTGCTGCTAGCGCTGAGCCCCAGTGAGTGGCCAACGACGGAAATATGCCAAAAATATTGTGACAATCCGATAATGTAAATGTGTGACATCATATTTGTCACCACCTATCATAAAAATGTTGTCTAAGTTCCTACAAGTATTGGATCTATAGTTGGACTCCAACCTCGAGTTTTCTGCTATCAAGCGGCAGTAGTTTGACGAGACTGTATCTTGGCCCATCTGCTTTCTGGATCAGATAAGATTTATCTATTTTGTAGTGTATAGCATCTATAACCTAAAAAAGAGTACTGCGTCGTGATCAATAGCCATGAACGAGCGAATTCAAGGCAGCGCCTGATGGAATCTGAAATTCATCGGTCCCACTGCTAATCATCTTGCCGCCCTTCCTCGATAGCCGCCCTTGCGCACGGACGACATCTTGCATCCGCTGCTCTGCGTCGCCGACATCATGCTTCGTAGGTTTAGTAGGACGCGAGCCACGACCTTTGGATGCACTAGATATTTTATTTTTTCCGTCAGTAATCGTCTTCGGCGCTTCACGCAGCGCAAATGCTTTTGCCAGGTGACCGATGTGAAGATGCCGAACGTGGAAGATATGCTTCTCGTTCGAGGGATGGGTCGCATATGCTCTCATATGCGAAGTAAATGCTCTCCGAGCAAGTTCAGCGTTCTACAAAAAGGTGTCAACGCATGCTCAACTTCACTCCAAATCGGAATTACCTCTTTGCGCCGCAAAATCCACCGCTCGAAAGAAAGTTGCACCTCTGTCGCGCGCGCCTCGTACTCGGAGCCTTTTCCACCAAAACCCTTCGCCAAAACGTTTTCGATGCTTGTTCCTTCGAGAGTGATGTTGACTTTGTCGCTGTCGGAGTTTTCTCCCGTTATATCGCCCTTCATCTTCCCTCCCACCCATTTAACCCATTCAGATTCGCTGGGTGCGACGATGCTCCAAGCTTCACCGCCCTTTCCTGCACGTGCTGTCCGTCCCACTCTGTGCACGTACTCGGTCGCACCGCCTTCAGTTGGCAGGTCGTATTGTATGACTGCGCGGACGAGGGGTAGGTCGAGACCACGGGATGCCACAGACGTGCAGAGGAGAATGGACGACGCGGGCGCAGGTTTTTTGGACTTTGAGGAAGGAATGGCTGAGAATCCGCGTAGAGAGGCGAGACGGATTGGTGTGGGAAGGGAACCGTGAAGTCGGAAGATTGAGGCACCTGGAAGGAGCGGAGACCGTGCAGCAATTTTATTTTCTTCCTCCACTTTCTCCTCCTCAACAGATTCATCCGCATTGCTATCTGCCCCGTCTTCGTCGGACTCTGCATGTCCAGCCTTCTCACCGTCCATCGACGAATCGCCTAGCAAGCGCCAGTGAAAGTCGACGGAGTCTGTGCAGCTGAGGAATACGATGATTTTCGAACCTTTTTGACCTTGTGTCTGAGCGAGCAATGAACGGAGAAGTGCGACCAGTGCGACAAGACGCATCTTGAGGGGAACGATGATGTATTTTTGAGAGAGTTGTGATGGGGGAGTGAATTTCTCGGTGCTGGTGGTAGCTGGCTCGTTGTCGTTTTTTGATGCAGGCGAATCCTCCGCGTTCTCTTTGTCGAGGCCCTTGATTATCAACGGTCGTCTTAGAGTGGTGCCTGCCAATTTCTGCACGTCTTCACGGATGGTAGCCGAACAGAGTATTGTCCGTCTCTCCCGGTCCCAGTCCCAACCCCCAACCTCAAATGTCTTACCGTCCTGAACAGCTTGGAACGCAAGCTTCCTCCTCCCATCCAGACCCTGCACGATCCCTTTGATGGTATCTTCAAACCCGAGCTCCATCAAGCGGTCCGCTTCATCGAGAACTAACCATCGGCACTTTCCAACGTTGAACGAAGACGTGTTTTGCAGGTGGTCTAGTAGGCGACCTGGAGTGGAGACAAGGATGGGCACACCTTTCCGTAGACGCGCCTTCTCGTGCGCACGGGTTGCGCCTCCACTTAGCAAACCAGAGACTAACCACCGGGTATAACGTGTAGAACTCTCCGTATTCTCCTGTTCGCCGTCTGGGCGTAGCCTAAGTGTCAATAACGCCTCCAAGACGTCGGAAATTTGTTTTGCAAGTTCACGAGTGGGTGCGATGATAATTGCGAGCGTCCCTATCGAGCGGTCGATGTAAGAGTGTGTACTTAGAGGGAGAAGATCCTGGATTATGGGTAGGAGGAATGCCATGGTCTTTCCGGAGCCAGTTTGCGATTGTATAAAAACATCGCGTGCACTCGTGTCCTCGGAAGAAGGTTTCGTGAATATAGGAAGGGCAGCACGTTGGATGGATGTCGGTTTCGTGATACTCATCTTGGATTGTAGGTGAGCGACGAGGAGAGGATGAAGACCCAGGTCCGCGAATGTGGCTGAGCCGGTCAGTGGTGCATTGCTCGGTTTGGAGGGCGCTTTTTGGACAGCGGAGGGTATGGGGGCCTCAACTTGAGGGTTATACGAGAATAGAGACGAGATTATCTGAGTCGGAGGCCTAGCTGGGAGTGCCGGACGGTCCATTGCAGGAGCTTTGGTAGCAGGCGGGGGGATGTCAGGTCGCATCCGCTTTGCGGGACGAGGATGGTCATCATCATCGCTGCCAGGATGATGATCAGGCTGGTCGGTCTTGCGTTTCTGGACTCGTTTAGCCTTCAACCTGGGCTATGATGATTAGCTGCATACATAAAATCAAATTTCAGCTCACCTGTCCGTCCAACGACCAGATTTTTTTGATGCTAGTTTTGTTGGTCCTACAGATGCATCCTCTGCGATGTTGAGGACAAGTTCATCGTCCATTTCCCCCTGCGGCGCTGATATCAATATTGTATAAATCTCAGTCTTGATCGTTAGAACGGCGGGTTACACAAAAATGGAATGTTGTTCCCACATCTGATAATCTTTCTCAAGTCAAATTAGTTTGAACACGTCTTCCTTCACACCTTTGCTACTTTGTTCCACAATGTTCGGTCGTGTTTCTCTTGCGCTCGTTTTAATTTCTATAGCCGCATTTTTCTGTGCGCAATCTGCGGATGCTGCCAAGGGCCCCAAAATCACCCATAAGGTCTACTTCGATATCAGGCATGGTGACAAGGACATAGGTCGAGGTTTGTGTTATGTTGAGACCGCCGTGTGACATACATCTGACGGGGCTCGAATGTTGAACAGTTGTCATTGGTCTTTACGGCGGAGTACGTCGCCCTCCCTATTCTGGCAGATATGTGGTTGACTCATCTCCTCGCAGACCGTTCCAAAGACAGTCGAGAACTTCCGCGCACTTGCAACTGGTGTCGGCAAGGATGGTCAGGAACTTGGCTACGGTTACAAGGGCTCTAAGTTCCACCGTGTTATCAAGAACTTTATGTGAGTTTCTTGTCCGTTGTTCTGTGGACATTCACCTGATATCCTCTTGTCAGGATACAAGGCGGTGACTTCAGTATGTGTACCATCATTATCTCATGTGTTCTGAAGCCAACTTAATGTAATCTCACTAGCTCGTGGCGATGGCACCGGTGGAAAGGTAATTTGGGACCCGTCTCAGCATGAACGTCGCTTATAGAGGTCCTACAGTCTATTTACGGCGACCGTTTCAAGGATGAGAACTTGTAAGGTTTCGTGATCATACTCATGTCTTCGACCCTGACGTCTGTTTCAGCAAGCTCAAGCACGCCGGACCCGGCACTCTTTCCATGGCTAATGCAGGCAAGGACACTAACGGTAGGCATGTTTTCTCCCATCGTTCATGTCATCTAACGTAGTGCTCTAGGATCTCAATTCGTAAGCTTGTGATTGCTCTCAACGAGCTTTACTGAGCGGTTTTCCAGTTCATTTGCACTGTAGTCACCAGCTGGTTGGACGGTAAACATGTGAGTTTGGCGTCAGTTTTATCGCCACATTGTTTGAGCTCTGTCAAAACAGGTGGTCTTCGGAAAAGTCTTGGAGGGAATGGACATTGTATACGCTATTGGTTTGCTTTATTTATTACCTTTACACTCACCAAAGTTCTCACTTCTACTCAAGAGGACGTTCCCAAGGGCAGCAATGATCGTCCATTGGAGGACGTCACCATCTACGACTCTGGAGAGGTTTGTTATTATACCTGTGTGATGTGCAGCGTATTCATCCCACGTTTTTAGCTGCCAGTTGAGCCAGTGGTGGATGAGACAGGAAATCAGGTACCCCTACGCGCTGAGCTATGATTCAGCTGTCTCTGTGTCAGTTGAGCTCTTGATGCGAATAAAATGTTGTTGCTTGCCAACAGGACATCGCCACTGTACCCGTGAATTCCGTAACTTCGTCAGCCGATGCTGAATTGCCCGCCTCTACATCCACCTCACCAGCATCTGACGAGAAGACAAGCCCTGTGGAGTCTACTCCCTCTCCAGTTGTGGATGCCACTCCTGAGGTTGTGGAGGATGTTTCTGGATCGTCGGAGCGTCTGAAATATGCTGCCATCTTATTTGTGGTGGTTGTGGTTGGAGTGGGGATGTTTGTTTTGTGCGGTAACAGACTCGGTCGTTTGAAAGGCTGTCTACAACGTGCAGATCGCGCGCATTACAAACGTGTCGGGGACGAGGATTTGGAGAAGTAAGTGCAGTTGATATTGACTTTTCGAGTTGGCGGAACATACCAGGTCATGAAACTTGTGCAATGTACCATAGATATATCTTGCTTGGCTAACATAACTAGTGCTGTCGTTCCTTCAAGTCCGTTGGAGGGGCTCTTTTTCCCCAGACAGCATAACTTAATGTTCGAACGTCCTTTCCTTCAAGTTTCTTCTTCCTATACCTGCCGGTGCGCCTAGGCTACTTCGTTAGCATAGCAAATACTATGTGCATTGGTTATTTTACATGGGTATGCTGTAGATTCTATATGCGTTTCCGTGTGTTCACTGACAAGTGTATTCGTGAAATCCAGCTCCTATTAATATAAAAATAGGCCTATTGTCCCAGTCAATCTAGCAAACATTTCACGAAACAATCAACAGTGAGGCCAAAACAATCACTCGTCCCTCGCCTCGTTATGAATTATAATCCGCACTATCGGTGGTGCAATGACACTGCTACGTTTGGCACAAAAAGCTGTGACAGCCGGCCACGGAGTAATAACCCGCCCGATACTTCCGGGACGAATGCGAGTCAAGTAAGAAGTGACGCCATCCGCCCCCGAGTTGTGAAATTCAAGACAGGTGATTCTGCGATCAAAGGATAGCCGCCCAGCTTTAACCTGGGGAGAATTTCCTAGGTAGCCAGCACATGTATCGTGATCGCCGAGTGAAGGTTCCGATGTCTGTCCGTTGACTCGGACTTGCCATGGCGTCAAAGTAGGAACACAAGCTGTGCATGTGTGGCCCACCCCTCGATGATACTTACAGGCCTTGGAAGTAGCATGGAAGAGCACACATACGCCGACGTCGCGAGCGTGATGAGTTAGTGCTTCCTACCAAAAATATAGCGGTGTAGTGTGATATTGCTGATTCGCTTGGCAGTCACTGGAGCATGTTATTAAATTTGAAAGTTCTAAAATCTTCCGAGCTAAATGCAAATAGATTGAACATATGTTCAACCGCCGATCTTTGGGTGTAGTTCGGACGTCGGCGAAGTGAGTCCGAGAGAGATGTTGAATGCCAGACATTGAAAATGACCGGGACTTTTGACGCGCCCATCTTGACTGCTACAGCCGCTATATGCAGACTTTGGCAATGAACGTTTGAAACACTCAAGCTCCGAATGACGCAGCACAAATTTGGAAATTGAGCCTGAGATCGCTCGGATCCTCACGTCTTTTCAAGTTACACAATATCGAGTGTTCAAGTTGATTCAAAAGCGCTTTATTGCCCATGAAGCAGGGCATACTAGTACTCCAGGAACAACAACTACATCCACCAAGTCAGCAACGAGCTACATATTGTGCCGTCAGCCACAACACCAATCAGCAAGCGGAAACACGACTCACTCTCCAGATGTGCTCATGAACAGACTGCCAGCTCGTCGGTGAGCAGCCTAGTAATTGCAAAACTTGCCATTACCTCGAGGCTATTAACATTGCAAGGTGCATGGGGTGAGCAATGGGGTTGAATCATGGATGCAAAGCAAACTACTCATACTCACCGACTTTAAATCACACTTAAAGTCACCGCAGCAATCACTGTCAATAGCGCAGGTCCCAAATTGGGGACTGCATGCAGTGACAGTCATACATGCTGCCAAAGCACTGGTAATGACGACGACGAAGGACAAATGCATGATTTATGCGAAGTTATAAAAGCTTTGCAAGAGGGACTCTGAATTACTGAGGTGGACAGTGCTTGCTTTTATATCCTGAAAATAGGGTTATGAGAAAAACTTGTAAGTTGATTTGGCAGATCAGTTGTGGCAGAACTTCACGGCAAAAGATTTAGAAGAACCTAACGGAGTCCCAGAATGAATCGATAAACAATCCAGAATTCAAACATATTGAACTTAACTTAGAAACACAACCCAAGCGACGGAATTGGCAAGGCTCTTTCGTGACCACTACGCCGGAAGGCCCAGAAAGGTCAGATTTCCAGATAGCCACTCGGAAGGTTGCTACAAAATCGAATGAGTAGCGACAGAATGAAGCTGAAGGAACATCATTCATTGTCTCCCATACATTCTCATTCTAGAGATCACGGCAGAAATGGCTTACAAGAATTTCATATGCACCGCTATCCGGGCATATGGGAGATCCCCGTTGTCACGGTATAAGCACGAGCCCAAGACCCTTGCCCCTTTTCGTGCGGTCTGAATTGTTGTAAAACACTTTTGCGAACGCTGAACAGATCAACCAATTAGTTTTATTGTATTAACAAAAAGCCACCTGTTCTGAGGCTTTCTAATACGAGCTCCGTGATTTGGACGTTGTTATCTTTTCGGCCTAGCTTTGCTGTCGTGAGCAGCTTCTTAGCGCACGGTCTCCAAATATATTAGCGTGCTAACCTGTGAATAACATCTGTATCCGAGTCTGACCACTCCTCATCATGTCTACAGTACTCGTCTTATGCGGGAGCTTTTATCTATAGCGGCCTTATGACGTTTGTCCAGGTGTTGTAGATGTTTGTGTTGGGTACGCGTTTGATCTTCAGTGTTCGAGATTATACCATAATGCTCTTTTACTCGCGCAGCAGCGTAGTTCGGAGTACAAGACAATCGCATCGGATCATAGTATCACCGCAGAAGTCAAGACCACGACTGCTGTTCATGACATGATGGGTATCAAGATGATAGACATATTATAGCTGCATTTTTGTGGAAGAACGGCCGGGGGCTGTGAATTAGTTTCATTAGGGACGCTCAAAGTTGGGGGCGCTCAGGTCGCCCACGCCTACCGCCTACGCCTATGACCCCTTTGGTCTACCTAAAACGTAGCATACACAGTATTATATAATACGGATATGTACAAAACGAGATGGTGTTGTAAGCCAAGGGGGGTCGTAGGCGTGGGCGACCTGAGCGCCCCCAACATCACGGAATCGGGCAGGAGATGTTTTAGATAGATATTTGTGGCAAAATCGTATCGAATATATGCAGATTATATCTAAAGACAGAGTCATACACAAGCATTAGCATAATGTCATCGAGGGACAACAAATTGCAAGAAAACTCTAATACTGTTGATGATATGTAAGTATCGCAACTATGATACAGGGTAGATAAATAATTGACAAAGGTTCTGCATCTCTCCGGCGTGGTGGTAACTCGTTGTCTTAGCTTGACCTTGCGATAGCTATTTAGAATGCCAACCAGTCGACAATCAAGAGTTACAATACCCTCACAATATTTACGTAGTAAGATCATTGCTCACAGTCGTGATGTGTCCAGGGAAATCCCTTGCCAAAATTCATAATATCCTTGCAATATTGATGTGGCATCGTCATTGCTCACAGTTGCGATGTGTCCAAGTCAATCCCTTGTCAAAATTCATAACATCTATGTGATATAGTAGTCTTGATGGGTTCAGGCCAATCCCTTACTAAAACTTATAGTATCCTCGTAATATTTACATGGTACCGTCGTTCCTCGCAGTTGTGATGTGTCCAGGTAAATCTCTTACCGAAAGTTATAACATGCATATAAATCAAGCACAAGGATAAGCTGGGTCATAAGTTTTTTCACTGTGTATGGATGAAAGATGTGATGGATGGACTTTTTTTCTGAATTCAATTTTATTGTCCTTTGGGGTCTGTGGCCCTAGTATGTCGAACGTAGCCCTATTAGAGTGCGGGGGGACTTACTCCCGGCTTTCTATCATAAGGTATGTGTACACTGAGTACACGAGGGGTATCGAGCTAGTCGGATGGTGAGATATGGGACTCGCTGCGGTTGAACTAACTGATGGGGTAGGAACTACTAGGTGCGTTGTCATCCTTCTTCGTTGGCTGATACTCAAACTCTCCCTCTACTTCTTTTCGCGACCTTATTTCCTCGAGTGCTGCTCGTCCTGCGTTGACACCTGCGTTGACGACACATTGTTGGAGGAAATGGATACCACGGATTTAGGGCCGCAGAGCATGTTCGCAGAGAGTTCACATTATCCAACTAAAATATGAGATAGGTGATATCCATATCAAAGAAAAAGGTCTCATTGTCGGATCAGCCCAGGACCGAGGCTGGCGATCATCAATGGAATAACTAGGCCCGCTCCCACTACGAAGGTCAGCCCGCATCCGAGCCTTGCAGACAAGGGAAGTCCAAAGTCAGCTGTAAAGATACCTGCAAGAAAACCAAGCATAGCGAATGCCAAACTGTAATATCTGTGAGCACTAGTGGCGATAGCGATTGAGGCAACAGTCTGGTTACCTCATCAGATATAAAAAGCTGGGTATACTTGTGAGGATCACAAGACTTGACAGCTTTCCTTGCAGGTAATACGCCTAATGAATTAATAATGTCAGACTCGGGTTCAAGAAAGAGAATACAATCGAACCGCGAAGTCGAGGGATCTCAATCGTTGGCCAAAGTGTTGTGCCATGGTACATCCGATAATGCAATACACGCTCAGAATAAAGGAAATCGAGCACAGCGTCTTTGTTGTGAGTTGTGAGCCTAAGCCTGGGATAGCAAGGATACTGGCATCTACTGCCATGATGACGCTCGCCTGTCAGAAGAGGTAAGCATTCACATCTGGGCCATGATGCGGGACTTACCACAGTAGTCTGAGATTTAGCCTGCACGCTGAAATCGTCAATAAATCCCCTCATGTCCACCCCATTTATGAGACCATCAACATAGATGCTCCTAAGGCGTTTGAGCACCATTATCGGAATGTAAAGCATAGTGACCGCAAGGCCAGTCATAAGGGGAGAGTCCTCCAGATCTCTGCGTCTCTTGCTCACTGAGTGAGATCGGATTAAGCGAGCCTCGGGTCGACCATAGTGGTTGAGGTATTCGTGATGACCTGTTGTGACTCCTCAATGTACGATGTCTAGTATGAGAAAATGATAACGCACGAAGAATATGCAATAACTTGCCTGTAAGTGACGAGAGATCAGTTTTCAATCATCTATTTTTCGAAGGCCCACGTACCGCAGATTGCAACACATGGCTCCCCCACCATCCCATTAGGTTCTGCGAGTGTCTCTGTCCTTTGGCCATCAATCTAAACGCGCATGTCGAGATAAGGGTACGTACCGGCAATGGCCAGCTCTGCAGCCATCTCTTTCATTTGATCCAGAGTCCAGAATATGGTAGCAGCAGTAGATTGTTCCATGGTCAGTGCTTCTGTTAGTTACTTAGGTTACTCTGGTGGGCGCTGCAAAGCCAAAGAACTCGCCTATACGGTACCAGTTCAACTTCACCCGCAAGTTTCTTACTTCTGAGACACACATTTTCATCCCGCGTGGAAAATATTCAACGTGTTTCCTAGTTCGCAGTGAGAAGCATTTCAGTTAGTTCGTTCCAATTACTCACCAGTATTGAGCTTCAAGTTCGAGTCCTACGGAATGAAGTTCAAAAACTAAAGCAGGAAAAAAAAAAGAACGTACTTTTGTGGTTCCAGTGCCATGCTGCTGTGCATTCTTGGAATAGAATGTAACCGTCCATCGGTTCAACCCAGGTGATAATTTTGCTCTCCGGGGCCACATAATAATATGGGTACACCTCCTCCCCTCTCGCTAATATCGGATCAACAACTAATAGCCATTGTTTTCCATCTATCTTTGATCTTGATGCGTCGATCCAGGACTCAAGCCTTCGAAGCTGTTCCTCTGAACAGGTGCCTATATTCATCTCGGTGTATGTTCGCTAGATCAAGTGAGCATGTAACACATCAGAATTTCAGACAACGCTCACCGTTTTCTTGTTGTAGTAGTATGTTGCTCCCGACGGGTGAATATACTCTTTCCACTCCCCTTTCTCTCCGCGCCTGTTGATGCTGCCGTTAGATAGATACTGTTAAAAACTATGGCGACAAACCTGGCAGGATCGATTTGCATCGCCTGCACGTTATAATCGTGATGTGGAGGTATCCTATATGAATCAGGTCAGTGATACTCGATGTTCGCACTAGTTCGATGTTAACATCTCACGGTAGCAGCATTTCGGTGTACCGCCGAAGTTGCATTGGCCAGATGGGAACACTGCGCCTGAGCAGCTCCATTCGTTGGTCGATCCCTTGACTTGGAGTCTGGCATGATGACCTGAGTATGTAGTTTCAAATGGAATAAATAGGCGTACCATCGTGTTCGTGTTGGACTTTCCAAACGTCGTTCACACGATGGAGTATGTAACACGTCGGTATTTATATACTCAAATACATTAAGGACACGATGCTGTGACCCTGAGACCAGGGATATAATTAGCGAATGCTTCCCATGATTGGGAGCAGGAGAGAAGTATTTCCGTGTTATCACTACTATTGGAGCGGTTTACGAGATCCCCGCGACGATGAGTCCTGTTCCCTGCGTCTGACTTCCGCCGGGTAGGGATAGGGGACGAATGATGCTCGTCAGAACCGTTGCAGGGAGCTACTGCGCCAGACGCATGGGAAATCATGCTTGGATACAAAATGAAATTCGCCATCGTCTGTGGCGCGTGACTCGGAGAAGGTAGGAGGGTGAAACCCCTTCCGTCGAGTCTCGAACTTTGCCAAAGCGAACCTGAACACACTTGGGACCAGAGTTAAATACAGGTTGGCTGAGATGAATATATTTGTCACACCAATTTGCTTTCACATCCTACATCACTTCGTAGTACTGCCTGGTAAGACATACCCGGGGTTGCAGTCACTTTATACTGATCTGGTGTCTGCTTGAGATATATTATGAGGCGCACTGTCGTCCGCTAGCCTCTGGTTCGCCTTACGGGGAACCCATGGAGAGGCTGCTGAATTGTCGGACCACGAGGCCACTGAAACGACAAATTAGCATAAGACAACCACCTGATTTGGACCAAGCTAGTATACCTCAACAACATTCCCGACTGGATACAAAGTTGGGTCATGGTCAAACTCGACGATGATACACTTGATGAGAACTGATAACTCCGAAGAATGAATCCTGCCTCGCGCACATTGATTGAAAGGCTTCAAAACGTCAAAGCAATGCATTGATCCTCGCTGAAGCGGACGTACCTTAGGCCGCGTGGCGTGCGACTCAAATTGCAGATGATCTTGTGGTCATCCAGGCCTTGTTTGAGGCTGATACTGAGGTATTCCGAAAGCCAGAAGCTGCCATCCTATTGAGCCGTTGTCCACTACGCTGGGGATTCTTGTGGGTGGCTGCATCATCAGAGTCGGAAGGATCTTCAGATGAAGAGTCCGCTGTGAATTCTTGTTGTTCATCAGAAGACTCGTCAGATTGTTCTTCGTCGGTGAAGAGACTACTCCCTTCCTTCTTCAGGTGGTCCTCCACATCCTGCTGCTCTTGGAATGTCTCGGCCTCCGGGCGACGAATTGAAATCCTTCATCCTTGAGTTTCCAACCCGAGACCCTCGTAGATGTGAGCTTGAGAATCATCGCCTTCGACTACATTCCGTTCGGCATCTTCTTCAAGAACCTCATCTGGCTCCGGTTCTTTCATTTTCCCCTTCACCGAAACTACTCTCTGGCGCTTCGATGCCGGTGCAGGTTGTGGAGGCAGGTCAACTGACTGCGATCTTGCCCGAGTGTGGCGATATGGTGCGTCAGAAGCGGCCACAGCAGGTTGATTACCACGAGATTTGCTCGACGTCCATATACGTTTAACCTGTGACTGACTTCCGGTGCCAGTACCAGAGGTGCGCACTTCGGCAGCGGGCTTTGTTCTCGCTGGGCTCGCCCACGACGTGAAGGTGGCCTTCGCGCAGCCCGCAGGGGCTGTGCAATTGAAATAGCCTGTGAGCTCATCGACGCCACCTGAACAACCACAGCAGTAGCTCGAGCACTTGGAGCCTGTCTGGATCATACGTCGGTGGATGAATTGACTAGGGTTTGCTGCGTAGCCAATGGTTCATCGGATTGAGCTGCTGAAACGTCATGCTCAGGTGATCGCGGCACTGGAAGCACATTGAGTCTGCCCAGAATAAATACCGCAAAGTAACTAGTTAAACAGTTGTGATACATTGTACAAAAAAAAACTTACTGGGGCATTTGATCATTGTCGAAACTAATCGCACCATCGAGCGCCCCCCACGCTTCCGGTGATCTTCTATCGTTCTCATTCGAAATTTGGCCAGGACTACCATGACCACTACTTCAATAATGTCTTCTGTTCATTAACTTGAATTTGTCGTTAGTGAATCGACAGGTGCCAGAGCTAAATCGAATCTCACCAATGAGTTGTCAGGCTTGATGTCTGCATGCATAATGTTGACTTTCTTGAGAAGACTTAACGCAAGGAAAAGTTGGTGTGCATAAGCTCTGACGGCCTTGATGTTCAGACCGACATCCTTTCCAAAGCGCTTCACAACATCTCGAAGGTTCATGCTAAAGGAACTTTTGTCAAACACCCAAGACTGAAATCAAAGAACCTCCAACCTCATGGACTCAAACACAATACAAAGGTGTCCGCGGTGTTCAAAAGTTCTCTCTAGCCGGACGATGTGCTTCTTGTCTTCTGGGTCAGCCTGTTTTAACTTGTTCAATATCTGCACTTCCTTTAGATCAGCACGATGCCTGGTTGTTGCTTTAGCATACTCAGAACTATCATATAGCAAAAATGTACGAACATAGATTCCTGACTCCTGATGATTTTGATAGCCACCTCTTTGCCGGTTTCTGCATCTTGAAGAACGCGTGCCCGGACAACATTGGCAAACATTCCCTTTCCAAGAGAAGAGAAGACCTGGTACCGACCACCATCAAGTTGCTCACCAAGGATAACTTGGTAATAATCCTCATGATCTGAGGCGGAGTCTAACGTCGTTGTGATAAGGGCGGGTGCTGCATTTTTCTGCATACAAGGTCAGACATCGTTGACGGACAAAATAGTGAGGGCATACAACAACTTTCTTGACTTTCTTTCGCTTCTTCTCGGTTATAGCTGCTGCGAACATGTCATCGACATTGTCCTCTTCTTCATCTTCCTCCTCTTCCTCAATAGTTTCTACATCCATGGGTTCGTCTTTGAGGACTCGCCTTTGTTCATCCTCTCGGCGATCTAGACTGGGGTCATAGTCGGCAGCAGATATCTGATCTGGTGCACCATCTTGCATCTTCGCACGAACATCTTCATCGTCCTCGTCATTAGCAAGTTCAAAGATACTATCATCTGGTTGTGGAGATGCAGAATCTCGTTTGCCTGCATGATACAATATATTAATCCACGCGAGATATTTTTTGGAGAGAACCTTACTCATTGAATCATGCCTCACTTTAGAGGTGTCGGCTACTGAACTTGCGGAAGTATCGACAGCACTGTGGGGCTGAAGTGTATCGGACACAGGTGCAACAGGTTGCGGTTGGACCGCACTACTAGGCCTAGGGCTGGGGCTGACGCTCTTATTGGCACTAGCTAACCCGGAGTCCTTGGCTAAAAGGGCTTGACGCCTGGCGCGGCGAGCGGCTCGAGCGGCTGCCTCTGCAGCAGCTGTATCGATCTCGAGATCAAGTTCTGGATCAGGTTGCGGAGAAGCAATAGGTTGTACCGGCTTCTGAATATGAGTGACCTCTGAGGGAGTTTGTGTGGATGGTGTCAGAGATGCTGCACAGGCGCTACGCGTAGGAGAAATTCTTGACAGAAAAAAGTGATGTGAAAGGGTGTTCATACACTTGAATGCGTTGATACTTACTCGCCTTCTTCTTTGTCTGAGTAGTCCTTAGCTTGATAAGAATGTCCATTGGTTAGTGCAGGTGAACGGCGATTCCGAGGTGGAGTTCGCGATATTCATCTTTTTGATTGTCTTCTCTACGGCGATGTTCTCTGTCGTTATCACGGTCTCTTTCACGGTCGTCGCACCTGTCTTTGTCTCTGTCCCAGTCTCGAGAATGGTCGCTAGACCTCCTCGAGTCTTCTCTGGACCGTCTAGGCTCCCGCTTATCGACACTGTCTCGTCTGCTACTGCTAGATTTGCTACACTTATCTGTGGGAGACTTTAGGTGTACCAAAGGTAAGGCCTAGTAAGGCCTCAAGGAGTCAGCGCTTCAGCCTGGAGGCAACTGTACAGTGGTGACGGTGGCTGGAGGGAAGGAGTGACGTGATTACATAAGTTATCTCGCGCCGTTATTTGATTATCGTTTAATTTAAAATTCACAAGATCCCAAGATAGGTACACCCCTGAGACCTGAGGCTCGATCAATCATCGGGTATTTTGATATAGTATACTGAGGTCAACTACCAAGCAGGTATCGTACAGCTAGTATGTAGAGTAAATCGCTGTATACAGTGAATGGGGGAGAATGTAGCTCTACTGTGTTATGATTATAATGTACAATGGAAGTTGACGGCACGCGTCAGTGTGTTCTGCTAGTAATGTACAGTGATGATAATGCAGAGTGTGTCGACTCATTTATACCTAGAAGTATGCTTGTCGAAGTAATGTTCGAATGAAACCAGAGCACTTACGCGAAGCGTTGATGTCATCTTGTTAACGGCGCGGAGGACTGTATTTTTGATCATCGTCGCGAGACGGCGGGTTGGCGGATCAGGCCTAGGCACCGCTACGACCGATTGTTCGGGTCGCTGGATAGCCAGGGTAAGTCCTCGGCAGCGACACGCCTGACGGGCTTACCGAATCTAACCACGCCTCAACTTGATTCTGTTAATTGGTGACACCGGTGACTACTTACTTCAATACCGCTGATCATGACAACTTACCAGAACTTTTCTCCCCTTCGTGGGAACTGGTCCGATTGTAGTCGATTGTATTACCCGAGTCATCTAACGAAGTCTATTGTTGGTGAGCGAATGACGCGCGGAGAATTGAACTTGCCGTAATATCGCCAAAAGTAGTAGTGATGCGATTGTGCCGGCAGTAATGGGTAATTGACATTGGCATATCACAACAAACAGGAACAAACAATCTGCGGACTTTCAAAATTATGTTCTCAGTCGTTCCACGATTTCTACGTTGAAGCTGTCGTTCGCAGGTTGAGGTCATTTGACCTTGAGCTGGAGCTTATGCTCCAAAAACTTGTGTTCAACTTTGCGCGGTGAAGGTCTTTTGGCCTTTGAGCTCAGGTTATCCTCGCTCCCGCCCATATTAACTCAAAGGGTTGAGGCCATCTGGCCTCGCAGGAGCTGCTGCTCCCCAATCCCTCTTTCCGCCAATAGAATTCCATGAGTTAAGGCCATTTGGCTCTGCAGGAGCTTATGCCCCTAAAACTCATTTCTGACTTGTCGCAGTAGTAACCATTCTTGATGCTCGCAAGTGCACATCATAATTCATACTTATTCCTATGGTTAATGAAGTTATCCTATACGTCGCCACTCCTCAAGATAGGAATCATGTCTTTCATCAAGATCTACCTCAGAAGCATGAAGCATCGACTTCTTGCATGGCTCTTTGCGAGTGTAGGGAGCTGAAAACCGCATTGGGAAGGCCAGGGTGAGTGGAGTCCATCGTATGCATCACGATGGGTAAAATGTCGCTCATATTTCTTAGCCGGTTGTCGTTCACAGACATTTTCGGCTCCAATACTTTGGGGTTGATAGGCAGGACATTCGCCACTCTGAACATAGATAAGCATGAATCATGATACACTTCGATCATACACAAAACACTGACGTGATGAAAGGCAGCTTCCTCATTATTTCATGGAATTGAGGGAACTGGTATTCGTTGGCATATAGTTTTCCCAATGACGCCAAAATGATCCGATACATGGCAGACAGTTTGCAGCCTGGAGTTTTATCTGGGAGCCAGATATGAAACGTGTGGTATATCTGGAACGACGACAATTTTGTTATTTATACATCAGCGACGATGAAGCCGAACCCACCACAGTGAGCAAAGTCGCAACTAGACCCGGACCCAATAGGTCATCCCGACCTTGGACTTCTTCGGGGAACAGGTCTGCAAGTCTCCCTTGGCGGTTGCCCTCAGCCAAGCCGCTGATATGTTGGAACGTGGATACCCAGAGTAGTTCGCTAAACATTTGTAGCCTTACGATTTCTAAAATACCTTGCTGCACCTTAATATCAAATATCGATAAGCCATGAAGTGAACTTGTGGGATTTACAATTTCGTACCTCGTCTCAATCATCTGAGGATAAAAGCTGGAAGAAATATGCAACCTTGGCATCTTGATCATCTTTCCCGGTGCCTGAAAATCCTGTGTTAGAGAGAATGCACCCTCGAATGATCTTGCGCATTTCTGTATTCCGGGACTCGATGTACTTGGCGAACTGCTTGCAATACTTAGAAGCGAGTGAAGGTGAGGCACGAGACCATACCATCAAGCGAAGGACATCCCATCCAATGGCTTGAACACCAGTCTTAGTTTCTACCATCACTGATTGAGCTGTTAGACAGTGATTCATAGCAACTAAGGAAGGCGCTCACGTGGTTGCTCATGAAGTTCTTGCAATGACGTATGGTTCATTTCTATTGCCATCACAAAAAAGTTGGAGAGTAGGCGTCTGTCGTTTGCTAAGGCCGATGGTAGTTTTTCAAGAAAATCGAATGGATTTTGTAACCCAACCCAGTAGCTGCCAATGTATATATTCTTCGTGACGAATAACAGCCGTTTCCAGGGCGATCCGTTCAATGCACGGGTGATAGCCTTGCGGTACAAGTTATCGATCAGAGTACCTTCACTTCGCCAGACAAGGTCCTGATGAAACACAATTGTTGGATTGACGACAGGGGGAAATGTATTGATTGGGCCGAAGTCTTCAATATGAGTTGTTTCAAATTGCATCAGTGAGTTATCGGTGTAGCAGGAGTAATCGTAATCGATGTCACCAACAAGACTTGGCGTAATAGACGGTATCAACGACACCATCTCTTGATCTGTCATAGGAGGGGCAAAGACCTGCAACGCATGCGAGATAGGTGCTACCTCGATTGTGGCAAGCGGGGCTGGGGGAGGAAAACCATACGGAAATGGAGCCTCGTGGAATTGGATGTGGGTCAACGCGTCAAGCTGAGCATGAGGTAAAATCAGCACATGGTGCAGCACTAAAAGCGACACTTACGAGCCACACCTGACTGGGGCACCCTGATGCGTCTGGCCGACAGAACCCGGTTACGACCACTCGAAGAAAATCACCGTCACCGAGCTGCGCTCATCATCTCAGAGATGAAATCTTTGATATCATAAATTTCTTACCTGTCTTTCATACACAGTATGGAAACCTGTTTCCCCTGAACCCTGAGGGATAGCGAGGATTCCAACTATAGGTAAGTCTACATTGCTGAACCCCGAGGAGATGGCCGGTACCATCTCACACTCTGAGGCCTGTAAACCAACATGATGAGACGAAACAAGTGAGTATGATTACTCACGTAGAGGGGAGAAATATGGCAGTGGTTGTGAGCTAAGTACCCAACGAGTACATAGCGTCCATTAAACCCGTCCAGGGGGTGCTGAAACCACAAGTTAGGTTGACACATTACTTCATAGATGATAGCACACATTTTCAGTCTAGAGGAAAAGCGTCAGCGATGATAAACACAACAGAGTCATGACATATAGGGAGTTGGATGACTTGTAAAGCTTGTTTCTTCTGAGGAAAGTACAGCCAAAGGGGGACTGTTTACTATGATTGAGTTATGGCTGAGGTGGGATTGGTGTTGACTTACCTTGCATGGCCATCGAAGGGGACAGGAAAGAGTTGCAATGAATGGCAAACGATGCCCTGGGCATAAATACGAAGTCGATAGGCTAGACATGCTAACCGATTAACCATAATTCAGCGGTGGCCAGCCAGAATAACACGCCAGAAACGAATGAATAGATAGAGTGAACTGCCGGCCTGAATAAATTATTCGTTAAATCGTCCGACAGATTGCCCAACAGATCGTCCACCAGATGCATTCGGCAGGAAAGACTGAATTGTTGCGCCGGGAATGACTATATTATCCGTTGAGAATGAGTACAACGCCAACAGTAATTAGTAAATTGAGGTAATTCGCCTGCCATGAACCGGCCATAAATTGACGATAATTGTCATAGATCGATGATGCGCCGTGTATCGTCAGATGGGGTATACGCTGTATGTAACACTAATTTTCGTAATCGAGCGCGTGGTCAGTAGCGAACATTTCGTCTAGTGCCTCGATGAGTGATTCCATACTTCCATTTCGTTCCTGCTCAAACACATCCAACTCCTCAATGCCAATGTGATCCTCTTCATCTTCATCGTCGTCGCAAGGAGCTTGCCAGCAAGTGATGAGACTTTCTTCCGTGTCCGAAAGTTCTGCCTGTGTTGTCGTTTGAGGGATAAAGTGAGGCGCCCGTTGCGCCAAACCAGGGGGTTCTATGATCTGTGCCTCATGAGAGTACACGTGTCCCACTCCAAGTCCGTAATGAAATCGCATGACAGTGTCTCGGTCGACAAAGCTAATCCAATTGTAGTTGTATGATCAGCGTTGAACCAAAATGGAAGAGATGCTCACCTGTTTACGTAGTACTCGCGCCAATCATGTTTATCACCCGCGAGGGCGGACATTCCACATTCGCTAGGATTGCGCTGGCCCAGAGAGAAAGCCGGTATCATGTGGCAGGCCCGAAGAACAACCTCTGGGTCGACAAAGCCAAATGCATTAGAATCTGTAATAGGCATGAAGCGAACACGACCCAAGGTGCATGTCTCCCAAGCGTAACTTTGCACGGATTTGTACCATCGAACAAATAGAAATTCCAATCGCCGAGATTCGTACACATTCCCTGCTCGAACAACGTTGACGTGATGTATGCCGAGTACCTTGGCGTAACGGTAGTTAGCATCATGGTCATCATCATTGGAATCACCAGGATGCTTAAGCAGCATAATATTGCAATGAGGCGTCCTTGGATTGATGGCATCCTGGGCCCTACGAACATCATACGTCGTATAATTGAATCTTGCGATCATGTGATGATATATTCGGTTGCGTTTGAAGAGAATTGAGTTACGTTCTTGGTCGAGACGAGCTGATGACTCCCCAGGCTCCAGACGGTCCAGAATGTGGTTTTTCAACCGAGGCAGAAAGTCCTACTCAACATCTCAGAAGAACGATAATAAAATCAAGAGTTGATTACCTTTATTGCGGGATCTTTCGCATGGGTGCGAAGGTAGTAGCCAAAGTCGTCGTAAATCTTCTCACTTTGGCCGATGTGATAGTGTAGTTTGGGATCGCTTGCTGTTTCGTTGATATCTTCATGAGGGGCTTGTTGTTGTTGTTGCTGCTGCCATTGTTTGACGCGGCGTAAACGCGCTTGACGACGCTCGATCTGAGTGAGCTGACGGACAAAAGCCTTTCGATCAGTACGACGATATCGGCTTTTCGGTGTTCGATGCTCTAGTTCTCCCTGATAGAAATCGAGTCAAAAAACTATGAACGACAGGCTACGACTTACTGGTTCGGTGCTATAAGAATCTGTCGTCCCAAATTGACGGATTGAGGCCACGTAATCCCCAAGCGAATGAAATTTATAAGTTTGAAAATTGAATGACTTTCTCCTCCGCGACTGCTTTGGTATAGGTAGATCCTGAGGCTGCTTTGAACTCGCGTTTTCTTGACCATTGGCTTGTGCACCTGCCTTAGGCTTTCGAGCTGCAGTCCCTTGCGAGCCCCTTCAGTGACAAATTCCGTATTATACGGGCCACCCGACCTACATAATATCCCGTATGAGACGGGCCAGCGGATTATGGGCCCATGTTGTGTATATTCTCGATGATGACAGATGGGCCGGGACACATATTATTTCCGATGGAGACGGGTGGGCCCATGTATGCCAATGATATATATATCCTTGATGTTGACGGATGGGCCGGGGGAATATGATCATTCATGGAGATGGGTGGGCCCATCAGGGTAATATGTAGAGTAGGATATTATAGACAGCTGGGCTGAAGAGAGATGTAAGGCAAATATTGTTATATAGACGGGCGGGCCGATGGGGGTGTATTACATATATGGGTGGGCCGAGGTAGGGGAATATTACATAGATGGGTGGGCTGACGCGGGGTGTATTACATATACAGGTGGGCCGACATAAAAAGTATTACATATACGGGTGGGCCGACGAAAGGGATATCAAATAGACGGGTGGGCCGAGGGTGTGATAAAATATTTATTACATAGACAGGTGGGCCGAGGTGGGGTATAATTATATAGACGGGTGGGCCAACATAGGATGTATTACATAGACGGGTGGGCCGACGTGGGGGATAATACATAGATGGGTGGGCTGATGTGGGGGAATTGTACATAGATGGGTACATATATGGGTGAGCCTAGATATGTATAAATGTCAAATTTTCAGTGCAAAACCCCAAACCGAGATTTACCAACCCCCGAACCCCGAAATTGTGGACTGCCGGGTCTCGGGTTTCGGGGTTCGGGGGTCCCGGAACTTGGAACTCAGTATGTGAGACAACAAAAATATATTTCAAACACGGGTAAGTCAATGTGTTTGTCAATCAACTTGATTGTAAATTATATTTTATTGATCTCCCCAAATTTCCCAAGTTCTGAGTTCCGAGCTCCGGGACCCCCGAACCCCGAAACCTGGCAGTCCACAATTTCGGGGTTCGGGAGTTGGTAAAATGTGTATGGATAGATGAAAGGTTGATTTAAACATTTTTGAAAGATGTCCCATATGAAATATTAAGTCCCGAGTTTTGAACTCCGGGTTTCGGGACTCCGGGTTTCGGGACTTCGGGCTTCGGGACTCGGCACTCCAGAAACCCGGAAATCGAAACTTGGGACTTGACATTTCATATGGGATATCTTTCAAAAATGTTTAAATTAACCTTTCATCTATCCATACACATTTTACCAACTCCCGAACCCCGAAATTGTGGACTGCCGGGTGTCGGGTTTCGGGGTTCAGGGGTCCCGGAGCTCGGAACTTGGGAAATTTGGGGAGATCAATAAAATATAATTTACAATCAAGTTGATTGACAAACACATTGACTTACCCGTGTTTGAAATATATTTTTGTTGTCTCACATACCGAGTTCCGAGTTCCGGGACCCCCGAACCCCGAACCCCGGGACCCGGCAGTCCACAATTTCAGGGTTCGGGGGTTGGTAAAATGTTTATGGATATATGAAAGGTTGATTCAAACATGTTTGAAAGATGTCTTTCATCTCAAAAATCGAGTCCCGAGTTCCGGGTAAGACATCTTTCAAACATGTTTGAATCAACCTTTTGTATATCCATAGACATTTTACCACCCCCAAACCCCGAAATTGTGGACTGCCGGGTCTCGGGTTTTGGGGTTCGGGGGTCCCGGAACTCGGGACTCAATATGTGAGACAACACAGATATCTTTCAAAAGTTTGTAAATCAATTTGTTTGTAAATCAAATTTATTGTAGATCAAATTTTATTGATCTCCCCAAATTTCCCAAGTCCCGAGCGCCGACCCCCGACCCCCGAGACCCGGCAGTCCACAATTTCGGGGTTCGGGGGTCCCGGAACTCGGGACTCAATATGTGAGACAACACAGATATCTTTCAAAAGTTTGTAAATCAATTTGTTTGTAAATCAAATTTATTGTAGATCACCCCCGAACCCCGAAATTGTGGACTGCCGGGTCTCGGGGTTCGGGGTTCGGGGGTCCCGGAACTCAGGACTCGATATGTGAGACGACATATCTTTCAAAAGTTTGTAAATCAATTTGTTTGTAAATCAAATTTATTGTAGATCAAATTTTATTGATCTCCCCAAATTTCCCAAGTCCCGAGCACCGACCCCCAACCCCCGAGACCCGGCAGTCCACAATTTCGGGGTTCGGGAGTTGGTAAAATGTTTATGGATATATGAAAGGTTGATTCAAACATGTTTGAAAAATGTCTTTCATCTCAAAAATCGAGTCCCGAGTTCCAAATTAGTGCCGAAGCTTGAAACTTGAAATCAGTGGAAAATGAAATCTCGCAACAATGTACACATGAAGATGTTTTATTTCCTTTGACAATTCACCGAGTGTCTTGTACTAACCTGACAACACAGTCCCAGCTTCAGGCTTCAGGACTCGGTACACGACACTCGGGGAATTGTGAAATTTCTATTTCCTTGGACATTTCACTGAGTTCCGAGGTCCGGGCGCCGAATTCCGAGTTCCGAGCGCCGAGTTCCGAGCTCCGAGTGCCGAGTGCCGAAGCTCAAAACTTGAAATCAGTGGAAAACGAAATCTTGCAACAATGTACACATGAAAATGTTTTATTTCCTTTGACAATTCACTGAGTGTCTTGTACTAACTCAGGGAATTGTGAAATTTCTATTTCCTTAGACATTTCACTGAGTTCTGAGTTCCGAGCGCCGAGTTCCGAGTTCCGAGTGCCGGATGCTGAGTGCTGAAGCTTGGAACTTGAAATCAGTGGAAAACAAAATCTCGTGACAATGTACACATGAAAATGTTTCATTTCCTTTGACAATTCACCGAGTGTCTTGTACTAACCTGACAACACAGTCCGGGCTTCAGGCTTTGGGTTTCGGGGCTCGGTACATGACACTCGGGGAATTGTTTATGGAAATGAAACATGTTCATGTGTACATTGTTGCGAGATTTCATTTTCCACCGATTTCAAGTTTCAAGCTTCGGCACTCAGCCACTGGTCGGTAGTCAATATAGGCAAATGGTAATGAAAAATGAAAGTTGTTA